CTATAGCTAAGAGTAGCGGTACTAGCGGTACGAGACGCGCTAGTAACAGACGCCATGCGTTGAATATTTTCTTCCTTATGCAGCCCAACGACTTCGCAGTGGTGCATAAGCGTACAGGAAGCAACCCAGGCACTACTCGGCCGGGTTGTGGCTCGGAGATAGAATAGCCGCATACCCCACGCGATAATATGGTCGACGCTTAGCATCCGTATCGATGCCGGATCATCGAGAATGGCTTTCGCGTACTGTAGTAGGTCCGACTCGCGGGGGTACCTGACTGAAGAGAGGAAGGATCCGACTGCAGCAATACCCGCGGCTATAGCACCAAAGGCGACCGGCGGACTGCCAGGCCCATGATAATACTCGCGACACCGCTGAGAATAGACACTAGGGTCAATGACATCTAGAATAGAGCCCATTGCAGAGAAGTACACGTCCGAGTAGAAGGCGAGGTTGTCCTCGGAGATCAGGCTGCCTAGCAAACCATAGGTATTGGAAGCCTCTTCCGGGCGGATGCCAAAGTTGTAAGCAGTTGAATTGATCTTGGGAGGGTTGTCAGACCCGAGAGCTAGGCCTAATATATGCGGGAAGGCCATAGCTGCCGATGCGCCGGTGTACCTGGACTTGCGTTCCTCGAAGATGCCAGGGCTCTTGGCAGTGGACGGGCTGCCTTTATTTTCTACGGGGGTTGAATCTGTTTCTTACGTCCCTCGAGAATTGTGCGCTTGGCCACTGGGGGGTCCACAGTCCCGGTGATATTGTCGTCGTACCTGCATTGATACTGGTAGGTGGAGCACATTCCACATGGATGCTCGCCATCGCATTTTCGCTTGCGCTGGTGGCACGGATTGCAAGCTTTTCGAGCACGCTTGCGCTTGTTTGTGGACATATTGAGATTTCTATGTCATGATGGCATTTTGAAGATGAAACACTTGATGGACTGAAAAATTCAGGAGCTAGAGACAGAAGAAAGACCTGGGGGCCAAAAGATACAATGACCAAGCAGGATGACTAAGCTCATAGCTGGAGAGCTACAGGGCTCCAGGGCTCCAGGCCTGGGTCCCTCTAGCTTCCAAGGTTAGTTAGTAGTGTCAAGTACTATGCATTTATGCATGCTGAAATTACCAGGTCTTTACAAACCGGAAAATCAATGGACCGTCATGATAACGGTACCATACAAAAATACATACATTGCTTAATCAGCTATGTCCGCCGAGATTGGAAAAGAGCGGATCTTGTCATTTTAGTTAGTTAGAGAATTTACATATGTCAGATTTACCATACATTGTCGTACCCGTCTATTTTCTGTCAAGTAGCTAAAGCTTTACCACCAAAGCAAAAAGTTAAAATTCAAGTACAGAATTGCAACCAAGGACCCTATAAAACGACTTCCTCTGTTAAGGGAATCCTGATACCAAATCCCGTAGAGCTGTTAAAACGTTAGAAAGTAGCTGCGCGTAGGTAGGACAAAGCACCCTGCATATTGTGTAAAACATTAGATGGCCAATGTAGTAATTTATACCTAAGGTACATATAATATATATGTAGACCTCTGGGCCTTTCTCTAGGTAGACAGAGTATATTGGTCACTCTTGCCAGCAAAGATCCACTCTTGTGATATTCTTCCCTATCCAATTTCATGGAACGCCGAACAAAGCAGAGCCTGAGTGGGTATGGGGGTTGGAAAGCTCCCGAGGTCATCTCATACATAGGGCCAAGCTCATGGATGCCTAGGGTGTACGTGCCCTTACATTTGTATTATCGTGCCGTCACAGCATCCTTATTTTTCTCAGCACAGCAAGACTCCAACGAAGGACAGTAGGAATTGAGAACCAAGGACATTGCCGCAGCATCTACGATGTCCGAACAAAAAGTCATTAACCAACGCCCGGGCGTGAAACACTCCAAAACCAACTCAAGGGCATGTAGACGATGGGGTTCCTCACGACTCGGAAGACGAGTCTATGACCGAGGGCGCCGATCCTGATTCGTTATCTTAGAAAGCGAAGTATGCAATCATATCCTACGACTAGAAGGCAAGTCCTCTGCCGACTTTTTGAATCGTTTTGCGAAACATTATTCCAATACTATAATGGTACTACCGATGTGGTGGCACCCGGATTCGGAACCGAACATGGATGGTTTTTCGATTTGACCAAGGGGGAGTTTCGAGAATTGAGTGGACCACCCAATTTCTATCATGGGGTGCTGAAGGCAGTCTGGTACACCGACATCTATCAAGTGGCCATGTTAATGCAAACCCCAGTCACCATCTGAAATAGCCGACCTTTATTATGGGTGGAAAAACGGCCGTTTCTAGCGCTAAAAATGATCATGTTAGGCGCCATTTTTATAAGTCCTTATATTTTAGTTGTAAAAATATCCCTACATGTGCTAACGTCCGACCTGCCGCTCCGGGGTTGAGTTTAATAGTGACTCATGCGAGTGCTGCCTTGCATGAGGCTGATAGATCCTAGAGCAAGGGAACCATTCATAGTCCTCGAATCCAAACTATAATCCCGGGTATAATCCCGGGTATAATCACGAGTATAATCACGAGTATGATTACCCCCATAGCAAATCAATCGATAGACCATTTAAAAACATTTAATTAGTAGGCTGACAGTTTAGAATACGATGTTGTCCTCTGTCCGCTTACATATATGGCTTAAATCTCCGGTAATCAACATGTAAGAGAAACTAGTCAGGTTTATAGAAGTCGAACCCTTTCTCTCCCTTTCTTTTGTTTCTTATTTTACTATCCAAGACACGTGCAGGTGACCTCGTGAAGAAAGAAGCCATCGGCTGATACCGCCCGGAACATCTCCAACTTTTCTTTTCTTTCATTTCCCTTTCAAATGTCCCTTTGATCTGATCGCTTTGTTTCGCGTCAGTTGGCAAAGAGTTTGGCTGTTAATATATCATGCGAATACCAAATTTTGACCCCCGCTTCCTCAACCTCGGGGAAACATGAGTTCAAGCCTTGAAGCTAAGATCGTTGTGCTCGGAGCACAGGGTATGTCTATGGAGTACCCAATTTCCAATTTATATCCTCATGATTAAAACTCGACTAAACACTATACTAACTTTGGTCGCAAAAAGGGGTGGGAAAGACTGCGCTCGTGGAGAGATACTGTAAAAACACCTTCAACCCCGCAGCGGCTTCAACCATCGGCGCGTCGTTCGTGACAAAGCGCGTCCTCGATTCCACCTCCGATACAATAGTCAGATTGCAGATATGGGACACAGCTGGACAAGAGAGGTTTCGCAGCATGTCGAGACTTTATTACAGAGGAGCCCAAGCAGTGCTCCTGTGCTATGATGTCAGTGCATCCACTTCCACACCATTTCCCCTCATTCTTCTTGCTTGCGTTTGTATCTGTTGTCCATACAAGCGCAATCTACAACATAATCAAACCTGCATAATCACTAATACTAACTGGCTGCCACAGATCACCGACCAAAACAGTTTTCAAGAAATGGCCGGTTGGCTACGCGAACTCCGCAAGAACATCACCCCTAACGACGATGGCACAGACTCCCTCATAATCCATGTCGTAGGTACAAAGTCCGACATTGTCGCTGAAGACCCCTCCCGCCGCTGTGTCCCCTTCGAACACACGATCGACTATGTCGCCGAACAACTCTATCCAACCCAAGTCTCAACCCCACCACCAACCGCAACAGCCAGCATGGGCGGGCTAGGTTTTGGAACATCTGTCTTTGGAGGCAGTGGTGGCAGCACATCGAACGCCAGCGCCAGCGCCGCTGCCCTGCAGAGTCCAGATTCGAAGCGCAGTTCGGCATTCTGGGGACAGGAGATTGGGTGGGATTGCTGTCATGAGATCAGCGCGCGGGATGGTGAGGGAATCGATGAGGTTTTCCGCGTTATCACGCGTAAGCTAGTTGAACAGCGGAACCGGCGCGATACCGAGCTGGCCATGTCGATTGCCGGTATGCCCATGGCGAATGGAGTTGTCGGACCCTTTAATCCTGGGGTTGTGGAGGGTACGGGAAGTTTCCGGCTCGGCCATGGTGATAAGAGGCGGAGTTGGATGGGTTTGGGGGCACCTGGTGTTAATGTCGATGATGCTGAGGAGGAGCGGGTTATGCGTGCGTCACGCAACAAGGGGCGCTGTTGTTGATCATTGTCTGGGATTGGTTCTTTGATTTTTTTTTCGTTTTTCGTTTTTCGTTTTTTTTTTTTTTGACTTCAATTTGCATTTGGGCTAGCGTTGCGTTTGTACTTTTGTTTGACTATTTTGATTATCTATGGATGTACGGGTTAGAATAAGGTAGTTAGGGCTTTGGTTGGTTGGGGGATCTTGGTGCCTTGATTTTTGGTCAGCTATGCATGAATGAAAGTACTTGTTTGTTCAATAAGGAAGGATATTATGCGCCACATGCAATCAGCATCGTACGTCACTCAAAACGATCGTCTTTGGGCATCGGGTGTGGAGATGGTGGATCCGATGATCGTAGATGTCCCACTGATTTGCATGTTTATGCTTCTATATGGTGTACTTTGTGAACATGTACATCTTTTATGGATCTTTTTACTATATCACCATATTCATAGGCAACAAAATTATGTAGTTCACCCGGGTGATTATGCAGATCGGACTTGCTCGCTTCTTACCTCCGAGGTCGAACCCCCTCATTTCGCCTATACCGGAGAATTTCCTGTTCCCATTGGGCAAAGAGAACTGCCTAGGTGGACTGTGCTTTTGCTATCAGGAGGACCTGTCGATTCCAATCGAGCCCATGCCTCAGCCCTCTAGGCCAAGAATGCTTTTCTTTCTTTTTCTTTTTGCCAACTACGTCCCTTTGCTAGGCATTTCTTCTTTCCTTTCTTGTCTCCTCCAAGCTTTTCGTTTTGTATTCAAAGAATATCAGACTTTTTATATTATTACATACTACTGTATCTTCTGATCCCAAAACGAATCGCAGTACTCATATCCAACCCCTCTCCGTATATCCGAAATCCTATCTGACCCACCATGTCGGGGGTGGAGGTGATCGCGGTCGTAGCATGTGTGGCAGCCAGTAAGATTATCTCCTCCCTTTTATCAATAGCTGAGATTAACAACCCCTAATCGGCAACAGTCGTCTCCGCCTACAGCGATGGAGCGAGTATGTTTACTGCCATTAGAAAGAAATATCACGAGCGCCAGGCCACCCGGGAACTAGAACGATCGCTTGCACGTGGCCGAACCGAGATTCAAAATCGGTTTGATCTGCACAATCAAGAGCTTGGCTATCGATACGAGCGAGGTGACTCGATCGCTCGTGAGCATATGAAGGACATCATCATCACACTACAGGGGGCGTTGCTGAGACACCTCCGAGAGGCGCAGGAGCAGGGGACCACTCCGGATCTGATGGCGTTGCAGATAGAGTCCGATCAGGGTCGCGTTCGCACGCTGGTCATTTTGGGGGACTTGTACGAACGTCTCTCGAGGCCGTCGCCTGTTCCGCCATCCGTTTACATGTCCATCGATTCAAATTATGACACGGTGAATTCGTATGGCCGTCGATATTCCTCTAATGGCCCGGAGAGGTATTGGCCACCTCACGGGTCGTCGATGGCGTACCTCTCCGGCAGATATCCTGCCTCACCAGCCAGTTATTCACCAGGCCAGATCCTACCGGAGGATACGTGCGCCTCACCAACGGACACACTGGGAACATCAAAAGAGTATGGGACTTCGAGTCCAAAGCCTCCCAGACGGTCATCAGGCTTTGGCTCAGTTGTGAGTAGTATGGGCGACTTGTTCCATCCCCGTCAAGGTCGCGAAAAAACACTATCGTTTCCATCGTCAGCACCCGAGCCCGCATACACCCCAGTTTCGCCGTCGACATCGGAGCCGATTCCAGAATTCGATGTTAGACCAGCCACGCCGAGTATACCCAAGTCGCGACCAACCTCGATACCACATGACGTCTTAATGGGGAACCCATGGAAGCACGAAAGCCTTATAGACTCTGACGACGAAGACGCCATCAGATATGGTCCAATCAAAAAGGAAACCCACCACCTCTCGCCCATCTCCGCACCCACGAAATTCCGGCACGATTCTCTCTCCGCAGCCTCAACCGCCTCCACAGACTCCACCCCGTCAAACCCTTCCACCCGAAGTAGCACGGACCGGCCAACCCAAGCAATCCGACCTCTTTGGCCACCTAGCGAAACGAACAACTACCTTGGTTTCTGCAAAGGGGCGTGGAAAGTACACACGGGATTCCGAGGATTCAAAATCTACTCCGAGCCCGGCACGGGATATTTTACGCAACAGTCATGGTTGCGGTGCAGGAAGTGCGCTTTTGAAGCACCCATGAGCCCGAAGAGTTCCAGCCACAACCCGCTATTCGAGGGAAGCGTGCGTACGCACAAAGTTAGCGGTGTCCGATATCGATTTGAGTTCTTGGCGAAGTCCCACGTGCCCTGTAAGCGGGACTCGGCGTTGCATTTTAATTCTAATGCTCCCCGCGGCATATTTTGCTGTGTCTTTTGTTGTGCGATGGCACAGGGGTCAACTCAGGTATATGGAAATCTAGATATCTTCATGGCGCATCTAGCGAAATATCACTGGGCGGTTGAGAGGGAAGCGTTAGCTGTGTTGCCTAGTATGCGGTGTGTGGTTGGTCGGGTTGCACCTGATTCGGAGTATTTTGATGTGAATATTTTACCGCCGCGCGGCTGATGTCTTGGTTATTATGTAGCCTGGGGATATTTTAGTATTTGGTATCGGTTATACCTTTTCTCATTTTTTAATTTTTTGGGTGTTGTATATATTGAAAAATTGATCTGCAGTTAGTTAAAACACGGGAAGTATCCCCTTGCACGGTATGTGTGTCATATATAGGGTCCTATGGAGACATTGGTTTCAGGGTTGGTTAAGGGTCTATCTACTCCGTACGTACCTATGTACCTAGGGTACTCTCCATACTCCGTACCACACCAAGCAAGCATTATGTACCCCTGAAATAATTAATTTTAAGTCGAAATTAATTTAAAATTTATAAAATTACAAAATTAAAATTAAAATTAACAAAATAAACTCAAGGAGATAGGCCGAGAATAATCAACCGCTCCAATCAAATCGCCCCAAACGGCCAGAAAATGGATCAGAAACAGCCCTGGAGAACCAGAAAGCACTCCCCTCTCCCAAATGAGGAAAGCGCCAATTTCCTTTTTTTTTTTTTTTTTTTTTTTTTTTTTTGGATTCTTAACCATTTCTCTTCTTGGAGGCAGGACCTTACCTATCTCACCTATCTCAATTGATTCCATTCCTTCTCGAAGTCCTTCCTTCATCCCTTGACTCGGCACTTTCGTCATCTCGCGTTCAGAGTACGCGAGTGAAGTTTGTTCCCCCGACCTCCACATGGGTCGGTGCTTATTACTTCACTAAGATTGCGCGTTCTGAGACACTGTCCTCTTCTCATCTTTCTCCTCTCACACTGCCATCCCCCCCCTAATACCCTTTCCCTCGATTTCGATAACCACGTTATGCGATGAGGTTGTCAATCCGTGTTAGTGCCGCTGCCGCACTAATTATCCTCACTCTCGTCCTGGTCAACCGTAGTTTGAAGAGCAAAGGTGAATCACTTCAGGATATATGGCACTTCGATACCGGATCTTTCCGCACATCTCTCCGACCAAAACCCCAATCTGATACGGGATCGCAACGGAAATGGCGGGTTGCATCGGATAATAAGCCCGCTCTGGTCTACCAGACCACCGAGATCGTGGTCCCCAACCAGGGTGCTATTGTGATGGCCAAACGCAAGGAGGACGATACCGCTTGGGTTGGAGCAGAACTGGCAGAGTGAGTGTGGCTCGATTGTGTTTCCAGCAGAAGACAGCCTAATTGAATATTTCTAGATGGCGCAGCGTTATTTACACCGTCGACGATATCAATGCCCCGACGCACACCCCGAAGAACAAGGGCCGTGAGGCTCTCCCCTATCTCCAATACCTGATCGACCACTACGACGACCTTCCTGACGTCGTGGTCTTCCTACACAGTCACCGCGACGGTGTAATCGCCGGCTGGCACATCGACACCATGGATTACAGCAATGTGGACTCGGTGCGCGCATTGCAGAAGGAATTTGTGCAACAGGCAGGCTTCGTCAACTTGCGTTGCCAATTAAGTCCAGGATGTCCCTCTGCTATCCAACCATTCCGTCAACCCCCGAATCCCGAAAGCCAGGGCGAGGCACACTACGCTGCTGCCTGGAAAGAGCTGTTCCCCGGTGAGCCGGTGCCTCGCGAAATCGCCGCCCCGTGCTGCTCCCAGTTCGCCGTTTCCCGAGAGCAGATTCTCCAGCGCCCCCATAGCGATTACCAGCGCATGTATGACTGGGTGATGAATAATGACCTGCCGGACGAGGCTACCTCCAACATCATGGAGTATTCATGGCACATCATTTTCGGCAAGGACCCTGTCTTGTAAGTTGTCCCGCAAATGTATTAATTTATTACCCCGCTAACATGTTTGATTGCAGCTGCCCTGATTTGTTCCAATGCTACGCAGATGTCTACGGCGAAGAAGTCATCTTTAACTACTGATCATTTCAAGTCATCCCTCTTAAACTCACAAGGGCCGATAGCTCTTGTATTTCCACCAGAATACGTTTCTTTATTACCCGGCACTTGCCGGAACTCCCTAGGGGAGAAATACCATGGTTACTGGGAAGACGCAGTGCCAATGCCATATGATGACTTGCTTCGATGTCAATTTTTTTTTATCTGTCAGAAGCAAATGTACAAAGACTGAAATGTGCCGAAATGGGTATCGCAGTGATATCATCCCTCTCGCCTCGAGTTGCACATCCAACTCACGGGCATGAGACAATTCTTTTCGTGCTACGGCACATGTATATTTTATTTTATTCAAATCTTTTCCATGCTCAATCACACACCGGGTAACTACTCGCTATCCCGTAGCTATCTATTCCTTGCTATCCTGCAGAACCATCTCCCTCGCTACCTCATCCCACCGATACATCCCCCCACTACCAACATTATAATGGTAATAATTATTGGTCCCGCCAGGAACAACAGCCCGGCGAAAGGTGATGTTAATCCGTCCCCTCGTCGCCTGCCCAGCCTTCCCCTTCCGCTTAGGAATACTATGCAACCAATTCGACTGGGTCGCCCCGCGCATAACAACCATATCGCCTGACCCAAGACTCATCTTGATTTGCTGTAGTGGCACCGTACCAGCAGGCCTGGATCCAGGAGAAGAAACGGTATTCGAATTCGACGTCCCACCCGAAACCGTACAACTCGCCCGCGTCGCACTAGTGCCACCCAGCCCGGAGATTGCATGTGGAGTACCAGCCACGCACCCATCCACCGTCTGGTTCAAAATTCCTCCGGGCACGAAAGGCTTATGCTTCATTAGAAAATCCCGCTCACCGCCCAGCGACAGTGATGCGATATTCGGCTCGGGTCCGAGGAAGCGCTCGTCATCGGAGTGGAATGCGATACTGTCTTCTCCGCTGGCGTAGTAATTCACCAGGCAGAAATTATAGCCGGGGGTCTTGGTATCTACATTTGTGTTTGCCGTCGCATTCGCGGCTTCAACCTGTCTCCGTAGGAGATCGAGACATGCTGGGATTGGGCGTGGCGTGCACTGGTACTTTGTTTTCGGGATTGGGGTCTTGGTCTTGGTTTCTAGTAGAACAAGACTGTTGGGATTGTTGTCTTGTTCTTGGATGAATGTTGATGTCTCATCGACTCCGAAGACGGTTGTCCATCGTGGTGTGTTGATTTGCGTTTCGATGTCGCCTCGTCGTGCTGTGTACTGCACGCGGTAGAAGGGGAGTTCGCGACGCAGGAATTTGAATAGTTCGTTCGCTGTTGGGCGGGGGATGTATGGCTGGAAGTGGAGGAGGTCCAGGTGTGGTTGGTTGTTTATTTCACGCGGTGCGGTTGCTGGTGTTGCGTGTTGTAGACCTACTTCGACGTGGGAGGGAAGTTGGGCGATTGGGATTGGGTAGCTTGGGTGTTGGCTTGGGGGTTCGGTGTCTTCGGTTATGATTTTGTTTGGTTTTGGAGTTGGGATTACGGTGTTGGACTCGATGGGCTCGGTTTTGGGACGTTTTGGGGTGGTGGTTGATGGTTTGAAGAATGCGTCAAGCGTTCTTTTTGCCATTTTCGAATGAAAAGGTGTTTGGTGTTGGTAATTGGGATCGATGCAGTAGGTTCACGTCGCGCGACTTTGAGAATTTATCAGTGATGTCATTTCGATCCCGATCTATATATCCCGATCTATACTTCCCGATCTGGCTTGGTATGCATTCATAGGATCACTGCCAAGGTATTCATAGATTAACTCCAGATCGTTTTCTCCGATATAACTACGGCTGGACCCCCTCAGTCTCGGCAATTTTAACCACATATTTCACTGCAGATGCCTTGCCGGCCTGCAGATCTTTCAATGCGCCCTCAATACCTCCCAGTCCACCTTTTCTCACTTCATACGGGTGGCCCGAGAACCAACCCTGTGCGAGACCTCGACCAATGAATTGGAAGAAAGCAGCCGCGAATTCCTTATCACCAAGAGCCTGTCCCTCAGCAGGAGGCATATGAACAGTCCCAACCATAGTCCGATGGATACTAATTTGCTCTTTCACCTTATCAGCTTCCGCAGGTAGAATGACAGTGATCTTTCCAGGTGCATCGAGGGCAGCACCGAGTGTCACATAGCTTCCCTTTTCGGTCACAGCATCGTAGGCATGGTGAATGGGTGTCTCCTTGCCGATAGCCTTAATCCCTGCGTAGACAGCATCATCGCCTTTACGATAATCAATAATCGTGTCCCCCTTTTCCCTGCTGATCAATGTCTCGACAAAGGGAGCGCCTTTGCCTGCGACGGCGATGATGGGGTGGATATTTGATAGTTGAGCGAACTTGATCGCAAATGCGCCAACCGCCGAGGCACCGCCGTACACAACCAGAGGAGTTGGCTTATCGGCGGGAGCCCAGGGCAGAGGCAATCTCAGCACTTGATATAGGCCCAATGCGGCAGTCATCGCAGCAAGGGGGATAGTAGCAGCCTCTGGTAGATAAGTTAGTTGCATTTTGTGGTTACTAGGATGAGAGAATACATACCCTCGAAGCTCGTCTTCTCGGTGAGATGGAATGTCGTGTATTCCCATGCAATGGCGTATTCACCATAACTTCCATGCGGGCTGCCCATCTGGTGGAACGCGGCCACTTTGTCTCCCTTGCGGAAGTTCTGGACGCCTTCTCCCACTGCTTCCACGTACCCTGCGATATCGTCTCCCTGGTTAATGACACTGTCTGGTTGCCATTTGGGGAGTTTCCAGTCCTTTGGGTTGGTACCCGACACCACTACCCGGATGAGGACCTGGCCAGGTTCGGGAGTGGGGATATCAACATCCCGGATGATGGCCGAAATTGTCTTGTCAATAACAGCTTCCTTCATTTTGAAATATGGGACTCAATGGTGGGAATCAAACAGGTCAAGTTGATATTTATACAGTGGATTGATTTGTAATGGTGCGGATGCTCCGGGTAGAATTAAACTTATTCCCGTTGGTTGCAGAAATGTATTATTCAGATGATTCTAAGGTTATATATACATATAATACCTAGTTCTCTGTAGTCTGATACTGGGGAATGGTCTCCCCGGCCCGCCACTTGTACTTGCTTCCAGGATGATCCTCTGGCAAACGCTGCGATCCAATAAATACCTCACGAGCTGTAGCACCTTCTTTCTCAATTTCCTCTCGGAAAAGACCTCTCCGTCGAAGTTCAGGCAGTAAGAACTCAATAATATCTTCAAAAGTCCCGGGATTCACAATATGCGCAAGATTGAAACCATCCACATCGGAGATCTCTACCCATTTTTCCAACTCATCTGCAACCGTTGTGGGACTGCCAACAACCTTGGGCTGTAGTCCACCAACACTGATGTACTCTACAATTCTCCGTTTGGTCCATGGTAAGCTATCCGTACCCGGCACAGTAGCGGACCATCTCCGAACAATGGACTGGACCCGTGGGGACTCGCTGAATCGGAAATCCTCATCATCAGCATAACTTGACAGGTCGATTCCGGTCCATCCACCGAACAAAGCTAGTGCACCTTCGTCATCGGCATATTGGAGATACTCCTCCCGCTTCGCCTTTGCTTCTTCATCTGTCGCTGCGACAATTACGTTGATACCCACGATGACTTTGATATGATTGGGATCACGACCTTGCTCTTTAGCAACCTTTCGTACATTATCCACCGTCAAGCGAGTGCCTTCGGGAGTCTGCCCACCGATGAAGATTGCCTCGCCGTGCTTTCCACCGAATTGACCACCGGCCTCAGAGACTCCAGCTTGGAACAGGAATGGGGTACGCTGTGGCGACGGCTCACAGAAGTGAGGCCCAGGAACACTAAAGTATTTCCCCTTGTGATTTATCTCTCGCACGGCATCGCTAGCAATGTACGTTCCGAGCTGTCGGTCGGCAAGGACGGCATCGTCTCGGAAGCTTCCTTCCCAGAGCTTGTAGAGCACCTCGAGGTATTCGTCTGCTCTTGCGTATCGCTCATCATGAGGAATCTGCTCATCCAAGCCGTGGTTTCGGGCTGCGCTGTCCAGGTACGATGTGACAATATTCCATGCTACACGACCCTCACTGAGGTGATCCACGGTAGAGAGTCGGCGTGCAAGCGAGTACGGTGCCTCGTATGTAACACTGGCAGTCACTCCGAAAATGAGGTTCTTTGTAACAGCGGACATAGCAGGAACAAGGTACAGTGGGTCATTGACGGGAAATTGTGCACCTGATGCCAGCGCGGGCACAACATTGCTAGGGCCCTTGTACACATCGTACGCGCCCAGGGTGTCTGCAATGAACATGGCATGGAAACCAGCTTTGTCAAGCAACCGAGCTAGCTCGGTCCAGAATGAGAGTGATTTGTACTGGTCGGTCTTGTTTCTGGGGTGCTTCCATAGGCCAGGTGCCAAATGGCCCGGAGTATTCATGACGAACGCATTGAGGATGATCTGCTTTTTGCTAGAGGTTGGTGTGCCTTCACTCATTTTGAACTATAATTGTTCGGATTTGGGGTGAATTCGAATAGGTACTGAGGTTCAAGTGCTGAGTTTTGCACAACGGAAACCGCTTTGTATACCTAGTGGGCGGAAGTATACAGTAAGCGCCATCACCATCGCACCACTGTCCTCGGAGGTTTATCTACCATTCGTGATTGATATTCGACATTCGACATTTACGATCAATATTTTGAATCCCATATCGGCCGATAAATTAGCCTCGTATGTGGGGTACGCAGTGACCCTTGTCGTTCGCGATTCCACGTCGTTTTATCGCAATCGGGGAGTCGAGGCACGCAATCCCAACCACAATCTCCGTCACAATCCCATATCTTCGGCAATTACCACATGTAGAGCCTATTAGCTTTGTTTCAATCTTCCAATTACAATGTGTCTAGACTCTTTAGTTGCGTCTCTTCCACTCATTTCGTATAACGCAATTGCGGACATGGACGACGTGAGATCTGTCGCCCTCTATCGCCCTCATGGTAACTCTGATTGCTCCACAATCCTTCAGAGAAGACTAATTGGCTACATATCTACGGTGACCAGGCTTGGCATTGAAGATATGATGGAGCTCGCAGACAATAAATATTTCTCGGCCCTGCACATTTGGACTTGGCTTTACTTTGCCCAGACATGTCTAACACGGTAGATACGTCCAAGCTGGCCTTGATCCCTCAGGGGGCGGCCTATGGCCTTCTCATTGGCCTCAGTGTGGTCTTCTGTGGAGTCATTTTGATTGCCGTGAAGGTGCAGAAAGCGTATCTTGCTGAAGATTCTGGAAAATCGGAAATGTTCATGGTCGCCAATCGCTCTGTAGGGAGGGGATTGTGTGCATCCGCAGTCTTTAGTTCCTGGATGTGGATCAACGAGACAGTTTTGTGTGCGGCTATGACATATCGGTATGGTCTCGCAGTGCCTTTGGTATGTTTCTTTATTCCATCAAATGACGTTGCACAACTGACGGGCTATAGTGGTGGGGATCTGGTCTATGCTTCCAGATTGCACTGATGGCAGCACTCGGGGTTATGGCCAAGATTCGTGTTCCTTATGCTCATACATCCCTTGAAGTCGTTCGGATGCGCTATGGCAAAATTGGACATCTCGTGTTCATCGTGCTCAACCTCGTCAACAACGTCTTCGGCTGCGCCTCGATGATTATGACGGGATCTCAGCTCATTCATGGTGTTTCTGGCATGCACTATGTGGCAGCAACTATCCTTGTTCCCCTCGGAGGTTCGTTCCATCTATTCTTAAAAATATAACGGGAATCATGAGCTAACCTCTTTATAGTTGTCCTCTATACAGCTGTGGGTGGCTTGAAGGCCACATTCTTGACGGACTTCTTGCACACAGCGATTGCACTCATTCTCATCATCTATTTCACGATTGCCGTTTTGACAAACTCTGCTGTCGGTGGACTGGGTGGTTTATACGATAAGGTTATCGCAACAGCTGCGGATAATTACATTCCCAACAACTATCAAGGTTCACTTCTTACATTCAAGTCCAAGGATGCCATTATTTGGGGGTTGATTCTGAAGTTCGGAAACCTGGCGCTTGTCGTTATGGTAAGTCAAATCCATGAAGGGACGTTGCAAGGCGTCTCAATGCTTTTTGCAAAGCTAACATGTCGGCAGGATACCGCATTTTGGCAAAAGTCCTTTGCGACAGAGGTCAAGGCCACAGTTCCAGGATACAACATCGCTGCATTAGCTGTTTTCGGTATCCCCTGGGGTCTGGGCACAGTTATCGGTTTAGCGACCAGGGCAATTCATGACACACCAATCTTTCCGACCTACCCTGGTCTGCTTACGGCCACTGAAGTCAGCTCGGGTATGGTGATGCCATATACAATCAAAGCACTCATCGGAGACAAAGGAATCATTGGGTTCTTCTTCCTTTTGTTCATGGCTCTGACAAGTACCGTTTCCTCCTCAATGATTGCTGTCAGTAGCATCTTGTCTTATGATATCTATAAGACATACCTCAACCCCAAAGCTACTGACAAGCAAATCGTGGGAGTGAGTCACTTGACTGTGGTTATCCACGGTGTTTTTATCACCGGCATTTCCATCGCTCTCAACTATGGAGGAGCAAACATGACATGGATCGGGTACCTGAGACCTATCATCTCTTGCCCAGGAATCATTCCTATGATCCTCACTTTGTTTTGGTCTCGGCAGACCCGGATAGCTGCAATTATCTCCCCCGTGCTTGGCTTCTTTTCAGGTCTCGCTGTATGGTTGGCAACAACCAAATATATGTACGGCCACATCGACATCACCACCACTTCAAATCCCTATCCGGCACTATATGCAGCGATCGCTTCCTTCTTTACACCGGCTCTCTATTCCGTTGTCCTGTCACTCTATAAGCCTTATAAGTTTGACTGGAGGGTGTTCCTCCGAATTGAGCTTGCAGACCAAGCAGAAATCCAGTCGCCCTCAGACACAAGCACTTTGAACGAGAGCAGCGAGAAAGTCCACGCAAGTGATCTAAAGGGTGTCGATGGATCTGTCACACCGGTTGTCGATAGTCAACCAGAAAGTATCAACAACGACCCAGAGCAGATTGGTGAAATAAGCGAAAAGAATACTACGAAGCAGACTTCATCGCCATCTTCCGTGGCAATCAGCTTGGATGACATTCAGCACCCATTCGACGACGAAACGTTGAAAGAGCTGTACAGATGGCTCAAGATTGCTTGGTACATGTTCGGGGCTATTGTGCTGATCACATTTGTTGCTTGGCCGCTTCCACTGTATCGCGATTATATCTTCACCAGATCATTCTTCGCAGGGTGGGTAGTTGTCGCCATCATCTGGCAGTTCGCTGCCTTTGGAGCGGTTGTGATTTTCCCACTTTACGACGGACGCCAGGATATTGTGATCGGTGCGAGGGGTATCTGGAAGAGTTCCAAACAGTACATTAGTAGAAGCAAGAAAGAGAACTAGATGCATAATTAAATTACTCAGGAATTAAATATGCTTGGCATGTCAAAATAGAGCGGGGACCGGATTGAGAAATATACAAAGCGGGTTATCCCGCTAGCTCTTCACTTATCTGCATAGTTTTTTTTATCATACCATAGGACCAAGTATTTCTTCGTTCATTCGAGTGTTTCTTTTTCTTCCCATCATTTATCCTCCAGAGTCGGGCCACAAAGTGATACTTAATTACTTGTCGTTAGTGATGTGCCAGCCTTAACCTAGTAACAATGTCTGTCGAATCCCAAAATATTTACGACAACCCAGAGTTCTTCTCTGCGTACGGAGACCTACCTCGATCCCAGCATGGTCTGCCGGCCATACCAGAATGGCCCATCCTGGAGGAGATGATCCTCAACCCCAAGTCATCCCCCGTAGGGTTATTAGAAAACCCTCTGAAAGGATCTCGGATTCTCGACCTAGGGTGTGGCTACGGCTGGTTCATCCGCTGGGCTCGCGAGAAAGGCGCTGGTTACGTGAAAGGAGTCGATCTTTCCCAAAATATGATCAACCGAGCAAAGGAGTTCGAGGCTGAGATCAATCACCTGGTTGTACCAGCCCCGACTACAGAAGTCATCTTCGAAATTGATGATCTGGAGACTATAAACCTGAGTCAGTGCCATGAACAAGGACTATACGATTTGGTTTATAGTTCCCTGGCGTTTCACTACGTTGAGGATATCGTACGACTCTTTCGTGAAATACACAGCTGTCTGAAAAAGGGCAGTACCCATGGGCGAAGGGGAAGATTCATCTTCTCTGTTGAACACCCTATTTTAACTGCCCCAGTCCATCCAGAACCGGCCTATAAGATGATTCGGGAAGCAGGTGAAGACCGGAAAGTGTGGCCATTGAATTCTTACACCAGCGAGGGCCTGCGCTTGTCTACCTGGCTGGGAGTAGAGGGAGTGAGAAAATATCATCGCACTGTTCAGACTTATGTCACAGCTTTGCTTGAAAATGGATTTGTGTTGACCGGATTGAAGGAGTGGTGCCGTTCAAAGGAGAATGTCGCAGGTCAATCAGAAGGCAACACTGATGGACACCGTCCAAATTTTCTGCTGATTTCCGCCGAGGTGAGGGAATGAGACCAGGGTGAGATTGACATCGCAACTTTGCAGTTTATTTGATCAATTCCGTCGAATATTCTACCTTGAATTTGAAGCTTGAAATTACACCAAAATCACACCAATCGATGGTTCTGAAAAATAATTTAGAAACTCGAAGTATATATTTACCAGCTCCGTCATCCCTAGCGCAGTGACATGGCATGGTGGTAACTAGACATGTGTATAGCCCACTGCCTCTAGTCAAATGACCAACCCCCCGTTTTGGCAGTAAAGAAGTTTTCTGGGTCATACTTCTTCTTAATCTCTTGTAGCTTCCCATATGTAGAGAAGGTTGATAAAGGATGTTGGTCATAGTGCGCATCATTGATGAACAACGGAAGACCTTCGGCGTTTGCTGTCGACGCAACCATATCACAGAAGCTGGATTGAATGGCATCATAGTCTGGCTGGCTCATTCCCGGCAACGTTGTGATCAAATAATTCAACCAGAACCATGGGCCATCGGGCATATCCATTGCATTTCCACCCTGCGCCTTACTCGCGTCTGTCAAGCTTTTGGGGACCGGCTGAAAATCGAGCGAAAGGAGTAGGTATTTGCCTTTATTCGACTCCCCCAGTTGCGCCACACATCTAGGGCATTCTTGTACTCATCATTATCCGCACGATGGACTCCAACACGGAAGATGTTGTTTCCACGAGAAGCCTCGGTGGCGATTGGAAGTGGCATGTCGGCCACCTCAGGGTAGGTCTTGAGGCCAGTAGTGTCGAGGAGATGGGGGACCTTTGTGAAGTTTGCGAACGCATCACCTGGGTCAGGGCCATCATAGACTAGAAACATTATAATGGCCTCGTCCAAGTTCAGATTCAAATCCGGGGTGGGCAGCTTCTCGTAAGTACCGATAATGCTGGCTTTGGGGTCTGTATTGTATCGGATGAAATTTCCAATTGCTTCAACGATAACGTCCTTCTGAGGAAAGGCGTAGATGATATTTCCCGCGAAGAATTGGCCAATAGGGCGACTCTGGACCGTATACTTGGTAACAACACCATATGCATTTCCTCCGCCACCACGCGAAGCAAAGAACAAGTCGGGGTTGGAAGTGTTGGATGCTATCACAATTTGACCATCAGGAAGAACTATTTCCAGCTCCCGGAATGAATCACAGGCCATGCCATATTGAGGAGAAAGATAGCTCATGCCACCACCCAGAGCGAGACCGGTTCCTACCCCGGAGAGTCGGGCTCCAACCACCGTGCGGTTATAGTCCACGAAGTAGTCGTATATGTCGCCAAATACACCACCTGGTCCGTATGTTGCTAACGTTGTGTCTGGATCATATGACTTTGCGGAGAGGTTACTCAAATTAATGAGCACGCCCTTGTCAGTTGACGAAAAGAACATGTTAGGATTGTGCCCTCCTCCTTTGACCGCAAATCGGCTGCCGGCTGCTCGAATGGCCCGAAGCGTCACAGAAACATCCTCCGAGGATGAAGGATAGACAACACAGGATGGTTTGTACGCATCCTGGGGCGTGCTCCAATACTCGGTACTAGAGACATACTTCAAGCTAAGTTTGCTGGTGATGACTTTGGACGATCCTAGCTGCGAGGTTATATTGGAACAAGCTGCTGGACCGGGATCGGTTGCCAATGAGCCAATAGGCCCCAAAATTCCAACTAGCGCCAGGATGGACAATAGCATGATCGATATGCTGAACCGTAATAAAACTGCAACGAAGATCAACAATGGATTCGATGGACCTGGCAATAAAAAGCTACCCAAATCAAGAAACCGAGCGCATATTTATACCTCCCTCAACTTAGGCGTGATAATATATACAGAATATGGCCTCGGCAGATATATACGACGCGAATACGATAAAGGGTAGAAATACGATATATTCCGGCGATGAGCGCAAAAAGAGCAAAAAAGCGGTGATCTTAATCTTTCTGGGATGTCGATCAACGGCCGTTCTACCGTATAGCCAGGAAGCGGGGAAATATCCACGGGGACTAGGCTGCTTGAACGATGATTGCTTGTTTGTGAAAAAAGTGGGCAAAACATGCTAGATAATGCTGGGAACTTGGAGCTTTCTCAGGTCAGTTAATTATTAGGCCTGTATTATCTTTTGCGAGGTAGAAACTATTAGTATATTACGTCTCTTCTTTATCGATGCTTTCAGTGTCTCGTTGTCTTATAGGTTAGATCTATAATGGATTTGCAGAAGGACATGTACGCTATCACCATGGCGCATCCGCTGGGCTTTGAAACGAATATTTGCGGGTCCCCAAGGTTGAAGAACTTTCACAATTTCTTCGGAGGTTGGCCGTCGAGACGGTGAGATTCCATGTAATTTTATATTCAATTCATTGGGTATCTCGCCCAAGCCAAACAGTCCGTAAATAACCCGAAGGCGTTACCCACTGAGCGATTCTAATCAGGCTAGATCCCAATTTCTCTGTTGAAAGGTGGTAGCGAGTTCCAAGTCGAGAATTGAACGGCATAATGGAACGTACGATCAAAAACTGTTCCACGACTAGCGCGCGGCATGGAGTGATTTCTTGCCCCATTACAAAAAGAGTAAGAGTGAATAAGGAGAAAAAAGCGGAGGCCGGAAGGTTATATTGAAGGTTTTGGATACGTTCAGGGTTGATGTGTGTGGGGGGAGGGCCAAGTAGGCTTGGCTATTGCACATCAGACATACGAATTTATATAGTTGACGTCTCTTCTATCTTGAAGACATTATCCTGACTGTTGCTCAGCATCCGTGCTTTGGTCGTGCATATGCAGTACAGTGCACGGCCCACCGAACCCATCCATCTCTGACAAAGAAATTGCCTATACAGGAAAGTTGTACAGCTTCAATATCGTCAATATTTTGCTGACATAAAAAAGTGGCAAGTCTATGTGGAAACCTAACTGTCACGCCAAAGAGTCTTGGGATGGATTTTAGCCTTGCAAGCAATGAGCCTGGCTGCGCGAGAGTTGTTGCCAACTCCCTCTGGCCCCACAAACACAGAGTGTTGCCAAGCACCACAAAACTCTTTCGTGTTGATTAACTACATGGACTTGTCTTTTCATCGACATGCGGGCATCACGGCCAGATTTGAGAGCTATGCAAATCGGTCGTCTTCCGCGTTGATCATATGAGAAACCATTTCTCCAACGGGATCGAGGCTATCGCCATGTCAACGAGATCATTCTCCTGTTATATGTATCTGAGACCATCATTACCCCAACACATGAGAAACTCGCAATTACTCGCTGCACCCCTAACAATGTGGGACATGCATGCCACGTCAGAACCCAAAGGTTCCAACCTCGTTCTTATCTCAGGGCTGAGAGCAACTAGATAGTCTAAAGACAGCATCTGGCGCTGACCCGCAATGTTAAAAAAAGGTTGCCAAGCGGGCTAGAACATCGCCTCATCTTGACTATGATAGAGACACTGCGACCATAGTCAAATGTCGCGCTAATTCTCAGGCCGGCTGGGATAAACGAAATACCATTATATACTACATCGACTATGAACGCGATCATGGTCCTTTTGAAAGATGAATCGATGATGCCCTCGTACCATGATGACAAGCGACAGCGCTAGGATGCTGGAGAAGAAGAGGCCGCCAAGGAAATCCTGTGGGAAGAAGTATATGTGGGCCGCCAAGAAAGTCGAAATCTTCGCATTTGGCGGATCCTTTTCGCAGTGAGATTTCTACAGCCGCACGGAGATGTGATACAGTCAGATTGTCAAAATCTTCACTAAGCAATGGGGTTGTGGCATCCAGAGAGGCTTAGCCAGGAAGCTTAAGCAGGGCTACCCGATGCGCTAAGCCGAATCCAGTATGCAAGATGTGCTTCAAGCAAATACGATTGGCCAATAATCTATCAGAGTGGAATATCCGCAACGCTTACCCTATTCGAATAGGGCGGGAGGCTGTGATAACGAAATTAATTGCACTGCCTTATGAATAAATAGGAAAACATCGCGAGCTGAGATGGTATCAGAAGAGTTAAATAGCAGACGGGAGTCCCATGGATTGAGGATAACACAAGCATCAATCAATTTTCTGTTTTCCTCTTGATTTCAACACTCCAGATCCACGCTCATTTGCGATCATGGCCATCGATTATCGGCATGGGATCTCGATCCTAGAGATCATTGTTTACTCTCCAACCCTATTCCTTGCTCTCTGGATGGCATTCCACCACGGATTTGGCAAGAGCTCAGGGTGGTTCTTTTTCATCCTCTTTTGTCTTGCCCGCATCATTGGCTCAGGATGCTATTTGGCCACTATTCACTATCCTTCCAATGTCAATCTATACATTGCATGGGCTGTTTGTACATCACTCGGATTATCGCCATTAATCTTGGCTTGTATTGGTCTTTTATCACGAGCGTAAGCAATACCTTTCACAATTAACTCGATGATTTGCAACTAACGACATTTCTTAGAAATGACTCCATTATGCGAAAGACCTGCCATCCTCTCCCTCAGATTATATTCCGAATTATTAGCATAATTTCGTTAGTTGCGGTGATTTTGAGCATCGTCGGCGCAACTACGAACTCCAATATTGGCCAGGGCCTTGTCACCACAGAGTCAAAGGTTGGGCTGGTCCTTTACCTTGTTACCTGGATCGGCGTGTTCGGACTGTTCCTTCTGGTCTTGCAACGGAATCAAAGCATCGAGGATGGGGAACATCGTCTGCTCCTCGCCGTGGGAATCTCTCTCCCCTTGATCCTCGTGCGACTAGTCTACTCTTTCGTCTATTCCTTTGGTCACAAGAGCGAATTCAATATGGTGTCAGGGAATGTCACAATTCAACTTGTGATGTCTGTCCTAGAAGAGATTGTGGTTGTTTTTGTGTGCTTGGGCATTGGTCTTACACTTCAAGTTCGACCCACCGCAGACTACACGCAGCAGCCAAGTGTCTACAGTGATGAAGGTACAGTGGAGCTAGAGGGTGGGCATCTGCAAGGACAAACGCGTGAAAAGAGACGCACCCAAAGACCGAAGCGTCGGGGTGGTCCCATTACGAGACTTGTAATGTATATCGTGGATGAGGTCAGGGACCGGAAGCAATGAATGATTGTATCGGCGGGGTCGTGGTCATATTTCTAATCGGAGCACTGGTACGCGGATTTTGGAACTGTGGATTTGTATAGATAATGAAGGAGTATGATAATTTTGGAATACATAGGATGACTGTTTGATTCTGAAATCTCCCTGTTGTGGCATAAATTGACCAGTTATTAGAACTCATGTATTTTCTACTCTATATAGAAGTATACCGGCTATGTAATTCATCCCCTCGTAATATTTCCCCTCTAATTCTTTTTTCCCCTTCTACATTGAGATTTATATTTAGTATTTCTATGGCATTTCCATTGTAGGGATTATTTTCTATTTCTATTGTTATTTTAATACAATATTTGCAAGGCAAAATGCGCTGGAGTGAGGATTGGAAAATGTATGACGTCAATGTTAACCGGAGAAAAGTCGAATAAAAAAAAGAAAATGGCAGCCTGACAGAAAAGGAAATTAAAACCAGAAAGTGAGCCTCAACTCTCTCCACAACTCTTCCTCCAATGGATTACAACACAAGTCCCTTGTTTGTTGCTCAGGAGACCCTCTGTTTCTATCCAATCAGTACGATATACAACTCATGTCCGCGATATCTCTTCTACGCGCTTCTGCTAGCAACCTGTGTCACTAGATGGACAGGATGGGTCATGAATGTATTTTTAGGAACTGCAGCGGCATATGCAGGAACCGCGGCAATCCAAGCCTTCATTATGGTTTCTAGTTACCAGGCGCCCCAAGACCCTGGACCTGTCGATATTCCGTACGTGTCTGCCAACTCCAGCCTACGAAATGAATTCCCTTCCCTGGTCACCGAAACAAACCATGTTATGGTCTCACCCGCATCACTTGAGCTCGACTCGGATGCTGTTCTTGCCATCGTTGTCACTGGCTATCTCGTATTTCTGCCTCTCCAATGCTGGTCCCGCATCCTAACCCATGATCGAGCACGAAACCTGCTCTTCTACCTTTGGCATGCCCTCATGCTGGCTGGCTCTATATGTGCCCTCATCTATGCTGCAAAAGTACCCAAAATCTCACCCCAGTACATGTTTTGCTTTCCTGATCTCGCGCCTTACAGCGACACATCAAATGACGGCTGGCAAGCTTCATGGAGAACATCGACATGGAACGACAGTGTGTGGGCTACATTTTCGAACGTATCACGATGGAACCAACTAGGAGATATCTGCTTCAATCCCTGTTTTAATACAACTCAAATTTTACGAAAGCCAAGCTCATTGCATTCAGCCACCGCGGATGGAGACTTCCACATCGCTACCTCCCATAACTTCTGGAAAAAGGTCATTTACTCGCATCGATACATCTACAGTCTGATCATTCTCTGTCTGATTCTAAATTGCCTCCTCCTAACTTACCGATTCCTACCTTATCGATCACGGATCCCATCGGCGCAGATCATGGTTATCTGGAAAGAACGGAAGACTATTTGGAAAAGCTTCAAAGACGAAGTTTGCGATGCTATGAAGTTACCAACAAACTTGGATAACAACGAAGAAGACTCAGGACCGACAAACATTAAGACCTCTGTCAGGCACCGAATGCGACAGATACTCAGCCGTCGGTTCCTAAAGTCGTTTCTCCATATGCTTGTTGACGCCACAATTCTTTTTGGCATACTATTCAGCATGATATTCAGTCCTTTTACCATCGTTGCCTTTGTCGTTTGGATAGAGATCCAAATATACAATGACGGACCATCGGAGGAGACTCCGAGCCAGGTTGGTCAGTGGGCGTACCTCACGTCTCTCGCGCTGCTCTTGATTTCAGCTGCAATTTTAAAGCTCAAATATCGGCTCGCTTCGTCAGCTGAGTTGGAACGTGAGATTATTGCATTGAAACAACACCTGAGGAACTTGGAGAAAATGAAGGAGGCACGATCAGGGTCCGCATCGATTGAACTCTCAACTGCGACAGGTCAGAGCAAGGCAAAATAGACAACCCAAATGAAATACTTCACATCTTTCCTTCTCGGAGGCGCGCTTCCAGCTACTTCCTTCCGAGTAGATTGTAATAAAGAGAGATAACTGATAAGGGTAAATATATCCAGGCAATGGACTGCCAACTTCTCTGTTGATAGTAGGCTGGCATGCTTACATTTTTCAATACGCGTAACCCACCATATCCTATTCTTATTTCAAACTGACAACATCAAGCTTGCTGAGAGATGTAAAGGGCTGGGGGCCAGAAAGGATACTGTAGGATCTGTCATATTCCCTGGAATTAAAGCGAGTAATGTATCAGGCACAGGTAAACCAGGCGAATTTTGGATCATAGCGATCAACGGAGATTGCGTTCTATAGCGGTCTGCATATCCAGGCCAGGCGAGGGTAGGCAGCCCTAACTGATTCTGGGGTGTTTTTACAGGACCAAACGGTATAAGGCATGATGCAGGACTCGGCTTCTTCTCAATACTTCCATTTAACCAGTCCGTTCGGTCTCCTAGCGACATAGTCACGATCCTGAACTTGCAATGCTCATTCCCTCAAGATTTCCTCAGAGACAGTATCACCTTCAATATCAATAGAAAACGGAAGTGATCCCTGAAAACGCATCCAGTGTCGCGAGTGGGTGCCATACTGGTCTATTTTAGCTGTTTGTATATGTGCCGGATACGCGAGTCAACCACATGATCGTAGAGTAGCGGGAAGCCATGGATTACCCCAGCTACCTCGAAGCGATAGCCTTCTTTTGCGCGACGATCACTTGGCAACCGTGCGGGGAACGTCTTGTAGCCAAATTAGAATCAGGAAACCACCCGGCTATCCTTGTTAGTGACACATTACAGGTCAGTGCTGAGAAAATATCCAAAAACAAGAAGTTCTATTTGAGGACATCGTCCCGTTGTTTACATATTGCATACGCTATGGATAGATTCTACATTTAAAATACCTTGCTCGCCCCCTTTTTTAAGGTTGGTATACGGGTTTCTTTGTTCTGCCATTTTTGTAGAGGTCATTCTATATCAGATTTAAGACAAAGAAATTCTCATTTCATCCCCTTTGCTACCCCCCTTGTCGTCGTCTCTAATAATCTTTATATTATGATTCTCACAGAAGCACAATCTACTAAGGAGTCCGATGAGGGTGGCATGAATGCCGTTGATCACACGAATGGGATTGAGACAAATGGAAAGACATCACACACACCACTCTGGCAATCGATCAAAGTATTCCCCAGAATCGTGGGATATTGTCTCGCGCTAAGTTCGGCAATTCTTCTTTATGGATATGACCTTGTTATTGTAGGGACAGTGGCTGCTATGCCCCAATTTCAGTAAACAACAATCGCCCCAAAATGTTAGAATGCATCGCTGCTGACGCTTGAGAGACTTGTTTTCGGCCAGGAACTCAATGGAAAGTATATCATCCCTTCGATGTGGCTTTCCCTTTGGAACGTCTCTAGTTGCATCGGCTTGATGTTCGGCTCCATCCTCGGTGGTTACTATCAAGATCGTCGTGGGCGTCGGATTACGCTCGCTTTAGGCAGTTTCCTATCCACCATTGCGGTCGCGATATGTTACATCTCCGATCTACCAGACGGAATGGAAACTCGCCGAGGGGTATTCTTCGCCGGTAAACTGTTCCAGGGGATCTGCATTGGAATTCTTCTCTGTGTTACACAGACGTACATGTCCGAGGTACTCCCTGTTGTTCTCCGAGGACCGATCATCGCATTCTATCCAATCTTCACGCTTCTCGGACAACTGGTTGGGTCTATCGTGGTTTATACTTCGCTCAAGCATACAGGCGCACAATCATATCGGATTTGCTTTGCGTCGCAATGGCCATTCTCAGCTGTCCCGTTCGTTCTAGCAATATTTTTACCAGAGAGTCCAACCTGGTTACTGAGGAAGGGAAAAACGGACAAGGCTCTCGAGGCGCAAAACAAGCTTGATACGAATCTTGTGAACTCGCAATCTGTAATCGATGAGTTACAGTCGTCAATTTCAGCAGAGGATGAGGAGAGCACAACCCATACATATGTGGACTGCTTCCGAGGAGTCAACATGCGCAGAACTTTGATTGTGGCTTTTGCAAACGTGATACCTCAGATGTTCGGACTTCAGCTGCTGGCAAATGCTTCGTACTTTATGCAGATCGTGGGCATGAGTTCATCTAATAGCTTGGTATTCTTGATCTTGGGTATTGGACTGGGCCTCGTTGCGAATGTTATAAGTCTGTGGGCACTCAATGCCTTTGGCAGAAGATTTCTTATTCTACTTACTCTGGGTATTGTTATGGTTCTATGGTTGGCGATAGGAATCGCAGGGATCTTCAAGGGAACTGTGATGATATGGTAAGACACTATATCGGACCTCTAGGATGAGGCGCTAACTTGGCACTAGGTATACAGCAGTTAGCATGATGGTTATTACTATGGTCTCTGGCCTTGGATCATGGCCTGCATCTCATGTCGTTGCCGCCGAGGCGTCCTCGCTGCAACTCCGAGCCAAGACTCAAGGTATTGGGTGGTTTACGAGCGGTGTCGGAACTGCAGTATTCGCCATCATCTTGCCGTATATCTACAACGCAGACCAAGGAAACTTGAGAGCGAAAACAGGGTTCGTGATGGCAGGATTCGCCGCTGTTGCAGCCGTTGTAGTGTGGCTGGCTATCCCAGAGATGAAAGGGCGGACACCGATGGAGATTGATCGCATGTTCTCGTTGAGGTTACGGACTCGGGAATTCCAAGGTTGGCATAGCGATCTGATTCTCAGGGGGAAACAGACGACACTCCCCCACCCGTAAAAGCATGATTGTTCTTTCCACAAATTGTTGAGGATATACGGCGTGGCCAAAACAGAGTCAGTGAGGTATCGAACACACCAATATCAATTATCTTTTGCGGTGGTGCGGGTGGAAGACAGAATTTTAGCAAAGAGCTTGCGAATCAAATTTATTTGGGGATGTTTATTCTCATAAACCGATACCCAATGCCCAGATCCACACACCCCGGGCCCCGAAAGCCCTGGAAGTGACCTCCCAAGGTCGGCCCCGGGGCTGTAGTAATCCATGACTAATCTGAGATAGACGGGGAGCAATCCACGGGACGTGACTCTTGTTTCCTTCCTCGCCACATTATTATCACATCCTCAAGAGCCATGTCAGATACCCCACCAGCCAGGACCAAACCCAAATCCGACAAGCGTGGGACACGGAATTCTCTTTCGTGCGCACAATGTCGTTACAAACACACCCGCTGCGACGGCCGTAAGCCCGTCTGCTCACGCTGCGCCACAAATACAGTGCAATGTACTTATCCTGTATCACGGCGACGTGGAAATCCAAAATCGGTGAAAGTCACCCTGTCACCTGTCGGAGATGTCCATGAGAACTCCATTGGCTCATCGGTGCAAACTTCCACTGTCGGTTCTTCCTCTTCCGTCGCTACCAACGGGGAAATTGAATCACATTCCACCTCGGCTTCCTCATTTCTGAGCTTGTATTACGAGTTCTTTCATGCGGCCCACCCTTGCGCCTTGCCTTTTCAAGTCTTGAAGACTCGTCTCAACGAGGCGAACATCCAACCTCTCCTTCGAGTGATGTGTTATATCGGATCTATTTTCGATATTTCCTGCCCGTCGCAATTATTAGAATCGTGCGCCCAACGTGCCCAAGACTCAGTGATCGAAATTAAGTCATCAACCCGGCCTCTTACGCCCTTTGACATTCAAGCTCTTCTACTTTACTCTATCGCCGTCTACTGGTGCAATGAACCGGAAAGTGGCGTTGAGCTCCTTGACGAAGCAATTCGCATGGCGGTAGCCCTTGGGATGAACAAAAAGGAATTCGCTCGAAACTATGCAGAAGGCGATTCTATACTAGAAGAAAGTTGGCGCCGCACTTGGTGGGTGATTTATATCACCGATGCCCACATTGCCGGTATGCCCCACTAAACTGATTATTGCCCCCGTGTTGCATTTCTGATGATCATAGGATCTACCCATACGTACCCGTTCCGAACAAGTGGTATTGAAATCACTACCGACCTTCCTTGTGAAGAAGAACAGTATGAAAAAGGGGTAAGGCAATCACTTCATTTCTTTTAAAAGAGTCGAGTTGACCTTCTGACTAGGTCATCCCAACACCACGCTCCCTAGAAGATTATGAGAATAGAGAATTCCTCGGCGAAGATGAAACTAATTTTTCCTCCTACGCGGAGCTTATTGGCTTGACCCACGGAATTGATCGGGCCTTATCCCCAGGCAACAATACAGATGATCAAATATACACTACACTGGCTGCTAGCTCTGATACTAGTATCCGAGCGTGGTGCTCTCTTCTTTCTCCGGAAAAGAGGCAATTAATTCGTCCTGATGGATCATTTGATGAGGTGATGTTCAAAGCATTCTTCATTATGCACACGTGAGATCTCCAACTTCCTTGGCTGTTGTTCATGTGTCTAACCCAAGTCTAGATATACCGTTGGAATTCATCGGCCGCTGTCAGCGTTGACTCACAGCGCAATCGAATCCGTGTCGCGCTGTGCTCCATTGGCCCCGTCAGAAAAGCTGAAATGCAACAACGCGAAGGAACGTGACCTGCATACTCTCAAATGCACACAGGCTATCAATAGCATTGATGAACTATTGACTCTGCCAACTGATATGAAGAACCACTCTCCCTTCATTATTTGCATGATTGCCAACGTGACCATTGCGCATCTATCGGCTTGCAGATTTATCTTTTCTGGGGACCGACGAGCTAAGAGCCGGGAGAAGATTAGGTTGACTATGGGTACTTTGAAGCGTCTAAGTGAGCATTGGACGCTAGGCAAACGGACCTATCGTGAGATTGGAATTATCGCCCGAGAATTGTTATCCCTCGCAAAAGATCCCCCCGCTAGTGTGGCCGCCATTGACTTGCCCCTTCCGGACCCAATTGCACCTGACTTCGCAGCATTGGACATGTTACCCGACGGCAACTTTGACTTCTGTGCCTTTTTTGATGCGGATGCTCCCACTCTAGCTGAACCGGGTTCTTTTATTTTACAATAGATTCGTCCCATGGGGGCTTACCCTTTAATGATAACATTCCTACGGATTTTCAGTCGCTGATTATGTGGTGAAATTTGTGGTTTGACTGTGTGCTATCAATGGCCTCAATTCTCCGCTATGCTCATTTCTGGTACTGCTCATCAATCTGGATCAGAGCCCCCATTCCATCCCTCTCAAATGCTTCAGTGTCCGTGATCATGGTAGCAATAAGCGTCGCCGGCTCGGTCTTGCTCGCATTATCGCTGATGCGATGATGGCACCCAGGTGCTTCAAACCAGGTTCCGCCCTCTTCGATCGTTTTCATGGGATCTTCGTTCATTTTATTGAGGACTGTCCCTTTGAGGACATAGACGCCAACGTTCGCGCCACCGTGGCGATGCGGGGGAGTTGATCCATTGGGTGGGAATTCGACGCGCAGGGCGACAATTGTCTTGTTCGGGATACCGACCAGCTTGTACGAATAGGCAATCTCTAACGAGGGCATCGGGCGGCTGTGTGTTTAATTAATTTCTAACCGGCAACCTGGCTCGGGGCTCTACTTACCTGGGGTCGTAGGTTGGTTCTTGCATGCTGGAATATGGCTTGCTCTAGACGGAATCTTCGGAACTTGGATTTTGTCTAATTGTGGTGATGAGGACACAGGAAACTCCTTCGAGTTTATATAGGGGACCGTCAGATAGCAGGTAGTACACTGTAGTACACGGAAGTTTCACTTCGGCTCACATGGAAGAGTTAATTATGTGTAGCCTACAGGATCCCCGACGTCATTGTCGGGGATCTACACTTGTCCGGCCACAGGCTATACATAGGCTATCAACGGATAGCCTATCAAAATAGGGACAAAGTACTTGCGTTGGTTCCCATACGAAAATTCACTGGGATTTTGCATGACGCATATTGCTTTGGCTAATTATTCTCGGCGACCTGTTCTCTCGGTTTCGAATTGTGTTGTGGGATAGCCTAAGTGATTCACTCCAAACTGGCTAGCTGGTAGTATCTCACCCACCAGTTGGTTACAAGGTCGAACATTGATTCGAGTCATCTTCTTTTAAAATAGAAACATTTCCGTCCAGTTTCAATTATAAGTCTTCTTTTCAAGCCTTGTGATAATTCAAAAGCCAAAAAAATGTGAACTTTTCTTATTTGCTTACCAGGCCCTCAGTGGGCATTCCCACAAGGCACTAAGGTAAGCGTTAGATGAAGGAAAAAAGAAACACAATCACTAAAGATCCAATATTTCCGACACATAAAATCACACCAATTTGACAAAACTAATATCCGCCATCGGCTTGTCGAAACGTAGCAGGGCCTTTCCGGTGCTCACGGTAGCTGGGCTTCTTCTGGCCCCAACCCATTTGCCAGCATTAGCAGAACATACACAGTTGTCTCCTGGTCAGGCTTCAATAAAGCTGATGGGAAATGTGGAGTTCCTTGTTAATGTTATAAGAGAGGCGTCTATCATGGACAATAAGATGGGTTTTACAAATGTTGTTGAGGAGAAAGCATGAACGCCTTTTCTCATGCTTCAAATGAATAAGACAAAATATATATGTTACAGAGAAGGCCAGGGACTAGTAAGTACGCTGGTAAAATCACTGTATTGCGCTATTCTCTAGGAGAGAGAGAGAGAGAGGAAACTATCTACAGATGCTAAGACTAATGTACTGGGAGCAAACAATGGTGGTCACGTGACCTTCCAACAATATACCTCGGAGGCTCTTATGAACACATATATAACAACCGAACCTACACACGATGGCATGTTGCATTGCATCCCGTAGGACATGTATAAGCCATGGCTTTCCATATACCTCCTTTCAAGCGATGATATAGATTGGCAACATCGATTACTGCGTGCCAAGGCGCTAAAATGTCTGCCAGAAAACTGCGAGGATCCCCTGGCATATCCCCAATTTGGCATAATTACAGGGGCCGCCCGTGCATTAGTGGGACAATCGGAACTAGCCGTCGGGCCATATTATTGATCTCCAATTTTGTCACTTCGCTTGTATTTACGCGGGATTTGATAGAGACGGATTTTTTTGGTTTCCAAATCCCGGTCACCTAGTTGGATTTCTAACCCTAGGAGTTTTCCGCGGACTAAGCATCCCATGATATTATGGGCGTTGTGACTCATTATTTCTTTTCTATCGGGATCTTTTCTAATTTTACATTTGATCTTCCTCCCAAACTTTGATTCTTTATCAATCTCATTCCCTAACGGCTAATAATGATCTCCGAGAAAGACTTATTGGGTCGCCTCCCCCAGTCCGTCAGCCACTGGCTTGGCTATCGTGAGAATGCACCAAAGCCTCCCGCCAAATATCTTGTTCACTTCTGGTCGTTCATAGCCGCGTTCTGTGGTCTATGCGTGGTACAGGCCATATTCAACTATTCTTCCTATTTCATTGAACGTGGCGTGCCCGGTCTCGTTGCTTCTTATGTGTGTATCCCCTTTTCTGCGCGTCCTTGTCAAATACTCACCCACAAGTAGGGAGCATCAGCAGTCCTCGTATATGGTTCGATTGAAGCCCCTCTAGCACAACCACGTGCACTGATCGGTGGTCATTTTTTGAGTGCTCTGGTTGGCATCTGCATCACGAAACTCTTTAGTTTAATGCCAAACGAAGAAAAATTCAACTCTTTGCGCTGGCTCGCTGCTTCCCTTTCATCCGCGGTTGCCATTGTTGTTATGCAGATTACCGAGACAACTCACCCTCCCGCCGGCGCCACAGCTCTCCTTCCAGCAGTGGACGAAGCTGTGTGGGCACTATCTTGGTACTACCTGCCAGTTGTCTTGCTTTCGTCAACTATGATCCTGGTTGTGGCTCTGATCCTTAACAACATTCAACGTCGTTATCCCGTCTTCTGGATCAATCCACCCGCTGCGAAGCCTGTTCTTCCAAAGGTTAGCAAATAGGACTATGCACTTTGATTGCAAGACGGCTACATAATTGTAGTGGGGTTTCCGTGAGGTTGCATTGTGGTGCACGCTTTGTGAAAAATAACAGAAAGTTGAGCGGTTGTATTCAACATATTATTTAGATAATTAATAGTTTAATTAAAATTTAATTAACACAATATTTAATTAAAAAAAAAAAAAAAAAAAGGCTTACAAACAAACTAGGAACTGTTGCTTCGTTCTCCGTAGGTTTCCCGTCAGCCTGGACTCCACAAGATCGTAGGCCTCGCCCCGAGCCGCATAGCCGTGGGGAACGGGTCGCCAAGGCGACCTTAGCAGTCAACGATCTACAAGGAACGGACGCTTTGAACTCAATTCAGATCTGAGATCCGTACAACAATAGCATGCAGTCCTTGCCTAGGTACATATGTAGGTTATAAAGTTTCAGCCTCGAGAGTTTTATAGCCAAATATTGCGACTTGCATTTTCTTTCTAACGGCAGAGGCAATTTCAACATTTTAAATTTCATGTTCACATATTCACATGTCTACAGGTCCCTATATTCGCGGTTTGTGGTCGCGGCTAAGATTCATGGCAATTCTGATAAGGTTGCAGGGCGGACGTTGTCCATCCTCCAACATCCATGTTCCGGCAAATCCTGTGATTGCTTGCGGTAGCCCTACATCAGATTACCGGCGATGGACTAGGGACTTTCATATTATTGGCTGTTATTGTCGGAGAAATTTCATATTGAACCCTGTTTCATATTTGAAGGAATCGTATAAAAAGGTTATTCCACAACTGTTAATTTATTGACTGGGTTTCATTTAATGCATTTGGGGGTTAAGATATGAGCTCGAGTTGCTTTTTATAAATCGAGTACATACGTTCACAAATGCTGATGATTACTGAGGTTCTGTCACTAGGCGGATCGTGGAGCAAAGTTCTATTCGTTGGATAAATATGTTAGGCACACTAGCCCCTTGTTACATGGACAGCTAGGCCGAGCATTCTCCGAACTATGAATGATGTTGCCTGAATTCCTTCGGAGTTGACCGCACATATCAAGTCAATATGTTGTAATTAACTATACGTACATGTGTAACATGTGATGCTTTTTTTAACCTATCTACATACACGAAAAAAAACCCTCATGAGTCAATTAATGGACTGTAGGTCTTGTTGTTACTACTAAGGAGGGGGGAAAGAGGAGGAGTAGCTTATAAGCATGTCCGTTGACCCGGGGAAATTCTAGTTTTTGTCATTTTAGCTGGCGAATCACATATCACATATCACTGATTGATAGCATGCATTTTTATGCTGCATATTTCAGTCTGAATTTTCTATTAATGCATATCAGGGTTCAGGCCATGCTTGATGGATTTCAACTTCCAAGGTTTGTGCTCATCGTTATTCCAATCTTGGTTGAGGCCTCGGGAGCACCCGTAGCCCCGTGGGCCCCTGTATATTACATAATCAATAACATTCCCCAGGGCCGGGGCCTAGGCAGTTAAGCATCACACACAGTAAACATATGAACGGTGGGAAATCCTGACATAGTACGGAGTACAAATCAGGTGAAACGAGCAAGTTGGGAGGCTATTATTTAAATGAGTTTACAAAATCTGTTCAAAGGCGGCTTACAGGTCATATCGTGCATAGTACTCGCCCCACAGTAGGAATTCTTAGGTTCTGTTAATGTGGCTGAGCTGATTCCCAATTACACTCTTGGATGCATCTACTTATTACTAGCCCAAACTAATCAGCACGATCTACACAGATTTTACTCTGTACGGGGGGGCACCTGACAAATATGCAGTGCAGACTGGTACTAAAATGTGGGTGAAGGGATGACCTCGGGACCCATTCTGGCTGACAACATAAAAGGGGCTTGCTTTCAGCTCATTTGTGCGTGACATCGTCTCCTTTTCTTTCCCCTCGATATCTCACGTACCCAGTGTGTTGCTCGGCCGTTTTTATTATGGGCAATACCACCAGCATTACCGCTGGACGTGACTGTCTCACATCTGCCGTCGGGGGTGTTGCTGCTCATGTCGCATTCCAAGATGCACCTCTTTACCAGACTACCGCCGTCGATCTGTATAACTTGAATATTCCGGTCACCCCGGCGGCAGTCACATACCCTCAATCAGCGGACGAAGTGGCTGCGGTAGTTAAATGTGCCTCCGATTATGACTACAAGGTGCAGGCTCGCAGTGGAGGTCATAGCTTTGGCAACTTTGGTATGACTAGTGATGATGGCAGTTCTGCTGCCCAGCCATTCAGTCAACTAATTTGTACATTATTCTAGGTCTTGGAGGACAAAACGGTGCCATCGTAGTCGACATGAAGCACTTCTCGCAATTCTCCATGGACGAGTCAACATTTGTCGCCACCATCGGCCCTGGAACAACTTTAGGTGACCTCGACACCGAGATTTACAACGCTGGCAATAGAGCAATGTCACACGGCATTTGTCCTACTATTCGGACAGGTGGACATCTAACGGTGGGCGGATTGGGTCCAACAGCGCGCCAGTGGGGTCTAGCGCTTGACCATGTGGAGGAAGTCGAAGTGGTTTTGGCAAACTCGAGTATTGTGCGCGCATCAGACACTCAGAACCAGGATGTTTTTTTTGCTATCAAAGGTGCTGCTGCTAGCTTTGGGGTTGTTACGGAGTTCAAAGTGCGCACGGAGGAGGCACCTGGCCTGGCCGTTCAATATTCGTTCACGTTCAATCTGGGAACTCCTGCCGAGAAGGCAAAGCTTGTCAAAGATTGGCAGGCATATATAGCTCAGAAGAACCTCACGTGGAAGTTCTACTCTAATTTGATCATCTTTGACGGCCAGATCATCCTCGAAGGTATTTTCTTCGGCTCAAAAGAGGAGTACGACCAGCTCGACCTGGAGAAGAAGTTCCCAACGAGCGAGCCTGGCACTGTGCTAGTTCTGACCGATTGGCTGGGGATGATCGGCCATGGACTGGAAGATACTATTCTGAGACTAGTCGGAGACTCCTCGACCTGGTTCTACGCCAAGTCCCTCGGATTCACCCCCAGTACGCTGATTCCCGGCTCCGCTATCGACAGCTTGTTTGATTATATCCACAAAACCAATGCTGGCACTTTGACTTGGTTTGTTACGCTCAGCCTAGAGGGCGGGGCTATCAACGCTGTGCCCAAAGATGCCACAGCCTATGGACACCGCGATGTGCTTTTCTGGGTTCAAATCTTTGTAGCCAACCTGCTTGGTCCAATCTCACAGACCACGTATGATTTTACCGATGGTCTTTATGATATTCTGGCTCAGGCAGTGCCAGAAAGTGCGGAACACGCATATCTCGGATGTCCGGATCCTAAGTTGCCCGATGCCCAGCGTGCGTACTGGCGTAGCAACCTTCCAAGATTGGAAGAGCTCAAGGGAGACTTAGATCCAAAGGACATCTTCCATAATCCGCAGGGGGTTCAGGTTGCCTCTTGAAAATCTTTGTATATATACTCAGCTGCTGCCGTGTTTAATATTGAGTATAAATTACGAGATGCCTCTACCTTCAAAATACAGATAGACAGTGACTACTACCTTCCTGAACGCCCTCATAAAGCGGCGGCACCTCGGTTGCAAAAAGCGCAACCTCAGCCTAAAATCTAGTACATAGTGGTACGTATATATGCGAAACTACGACAATCTGCAGGGTTTATATTTCAAGCTTGGGATATATAAAGCTCTGATTTCACCTCGTTGGACAGGTGTAATTCCAATTATGAACTATATAAATGGCATTTAATTTCTCAAAATATTGAGCGGAGTAGACGCAAAGGGGCAGCTTTGAACCAAGCACCCCAAGTGGGATACTCAACTCTTGGTGGAAGGTCCACATCAAGAGCCGAGTCCCTCATAAAGCTGTGGATGTCGATCTTCTCAACTGGGATGAACCAGCCTCCGCGGTCGAGACTGGGGTCTTTGTTCAACTTGGTGTAAACAAGCCAGATGACGAATAGGAGTATCACAATCGGTGCAGCAATATAGTTCATGAAAAAGTCCTCTGCGTTTTTTGTAGCCACGGAGACATAAAATTCGGCGATGAGGCACAAGATGTTGAGACCAAGACCGATATAGCTTCCAATCACACCAAAGGGAGCGGCAAAGGTAAGCTCCTTTACGGTGCGTCCGTTGTGTTTCCAGGCGGAACGGAAGCGGATATGGGCAAGGCAAATACTTCCCCAGATGAAAAAGTCAGAAATACCAGACAAGGCAAGAAGCCAGTCGAAGATAGTACTTCCAGACGGTGCCTCATTGATGAAGGCGAGCAAACCAAAAGCAATCTGCAAAATAATACAGTAAAGAGGCCGACCCGCTTTGTCAATATATGCCATGAATTTCGGTGCCATTCCTCGTGAAGCCAGGGCCTGGATAGTGCGACTTGAGCCGTATGTGGCGGAGTTGGCCACACTAATGACCGAAATAGTGATGATTGCATTCATGACAGAGGGCAGTCCAGAGATACCGGCATTCTGGATTGATACGACAAATGGAGAAGCCTTGGTATTGGCGCCAGATGCTCCAAGAAGCCAGTCAGCGTTGGAAGGCACAATCAAACCAACAATAAAGGTTCCTAGGACATAGAAGACCATGATACGCCAGAAGACCTGCTTGGAAGCTTTGGGGATGGACTTGGCAGGGTTTGCCGCCTCCGCAGCAGCAAGACCGGCCATTTCTGTGCCACCGAATGCAAAGGCTGCTGTCACAAAGACCGAACAGAACCCCTTAAAGTCCGTGAATGGACCAGGGTCATGCCAGTAACGAGCTCCTATGTAACCTCCATTCGGAGCTCCACCGCAATCAATCACGATTCCAAGGATGATGAAGCCAATTACAGCGGTGACCTTGATCATTCCTAGAACAAATTCGACTACAGGCCGACGTTAGTATCAATTTATCGCAAAAAGATATATTATTTCTGTATCACCTTCTCCATAGCCTCGAACACCAAAGAACTGGATGGCTGTCAGAACGACTAGAAACACTGCCACCCAAATGCCACTGTTCAAAGTTTCACTCCAGTACTGGATTGTTAAACTTGCAGCCGTGAGCTCGAAGGGAAGGATGATAAGCCATCCAATAGCGTAGTCCCAGCCGACCGCAAATCCCCTACCATGAGATGAGTGGTTAGCTCTCGTTCATCATAAATTTAGCACATGAACACGAGAAACTCACCAGGATGGACTAATGAACCGGACACAGTATGTGAAAAAGGCTCCATTCACGGGATATAGCACGGCCAATTCACCCAGAGCTTGAATTGTAAGAAGAAGCATTCCTCCAACGATCAAATAGCATAGTAACAAAGATCCAGGTCCTCCTGTGCGGAGAGCAGATCCCGTACTAACGAAAAGACCAGCTCCAATAGCACCACCTTGGTGAAATTAGTATCAGAAGCAAAAGAAGAATTGTTGAAGGACGCATACCAAGAGCAATCATCTGCATATGACGGTTCTTCAGATTCCGCTTCAGCGGGTTGATTTGACCAACCACCACATCATCATGAGCTGAAGGGAGACTTTCAGCTGGCTCCACGGCCGTGGCTGCTTTCTTCTCGATGTCTGAGTCCATTGCAGTCATGTTTCTGGATTCTACACCAATACACTAAGCAAGAAAACTGATCGACGGCGAATGGTAATTTATATACCCCAGCCGGGATATACGAGTTGACTTGCATTTTGTTTGTGATAAGCAGGGCGTTGAGACGGGTTCCTCAGTGGCTCGTGCTGTATTTGGGTGGCCTCTTTACATGCGATCAGACGGCAGGGTGAAGATAAGACTTTGTATTTTGAACTTTGATCTTGATATGGGTAATCGTGGCCAATCAGGATGAAATCTCAGGGGTATTGTTTGAGCTTAGCTGAGACGCTACTCTTGGCGACTGCAACACTTGATCTTCCCCCTATTCTGCGGGTCCGATTCGCTATCTCAATGTTCCTTGCTTGAAAACTGCTCACATGTTCTAGGTCTCCGGGCAGAACTAGCTACACGCTAACTCCATGGGCCCAGATAAGCACGCCTTGACTTTCCAACATTCAAAAGTGACAGAAGTGGGGTTTAGGTCCGTAAATCTCGGGTTGTCCTGAAGTGTCGAAATTAAATTCCGTTTTTGAAGTATCAATTGTTTATTGGGCGTATGGTATAGTGCATACTCCGTACTCCGTACACAAATCGGAGTCTAACGGATAATCGAAAAGGGATTTAGATTGAATTCTACTAAGTTAGATGCCCATGTTGTGCTCCATTCTCGAAGCCACGAGGCGTATTCGAGGAATCCTTTCAATGCTGACGTGTCCGACTGAAACCCCCGAGCGCAACATCACACTGGGCTATGGCGAAAAGCTTGGTCTTATCATGGGCCAATATGCTTTCAACGAATGGAACAAATACACAAGAGATACCCGTTACATTTTCCGGGCGCCGGAGATTGGCGGTGCCTCCCTATCTCGAGAGGAAAGAAATGCCGACAGCCTTTAGAACTGAAAAGACCCTATATGGATCGAACGTACTTGTGTCGGTGTCACGCCATGGGTGGCTGTTGTAAACATCATCTCAAGGCTGAAATTACTATCGAAAGATAACATCTCATGTGTTATCAAGTTAAATATTTTCAAAAGAAACGGAGTCTGAAAGGCCTTATTGAACGACCCCCTGGAATGGACGAGCCCCTGCCTAGCCTCCAACCAACATGTGGCAATGTCGTGCTGTTTTGCATATCTCAGTGCAAACCGCAGAGACGACCATGGTTGCCTTCAGTTATCACTGGCAATTATTCGCGCAACATCATCTGCAATGTTATATTCCGTCACTATGCGAATCTGATTGCTCATAAGACCAGGGAAGAGTCCTGTGGCATATGTTAGTCAACACCGCTGCTATAACCTCAGAAGTTACCAGAAAATCTCTGACCCATTATTTTCATCACCCCATACATAAAATACTCCTTTAGTATGCCCATTTCACGCTTACTGTTCTGAATCTTCTGTGCAGATTCCAATATTGCGTTCACGTGCGGCTGACGCAAGTTCACATACTGTGAAGCGGCTGCCTTGATCGCATTCTTCTGGGCCTTTGGTGCTACCTCATCTAGGCGTGCATTGCCCATATGGAGGTGATGGGCCAAAAGCAAAGCAAGGGCTTCAACATCCTCTAGTGCTTGAGAAGAGCCTTGGCCAGAGCTTGAAGGAAGCGCATGTGCTGCGTCTCCAACGAGCACGACACCATCTCGCTCCCACGTTGGAAGTGTAGGTAAAGTCCATGTTGGATACATGTTTTTAACCCGAAGGGACTGAATCACTTTTTTCACAACAGGCTCCTTCCAATTCGCATATCTCTCACGCAGCTGCCGAGTCACGTCGTCCATGTCGAGTGTTTTCAAATCAGGGCATTCTTTGATCTCATAGGTTGACCACCAAGCAAGGGAGTCTCCTGGATCAGAGACGTGATAAGGCGAGTCCCGGTTAGCAGCAGACATGGAGCTTTCCGAAAAGAAGTATCCGAAGAACCCATTTCCACCAAATACAAAATTCATGGACCCCGGTTCGACGATGTCTTTTACATCTGCGGCAGGGATGAAGCCCCCAACCCCGACGAGACCTCTATCGCACGGTTAATCATGAGACCACACAAAATATGGTTCACGACGGGATGAAGAAATCTTCAGTGTTCACTTACTCATAGTTCGGGGGATATGGATCCTCTTCGGCATCTGGGAAAAGTGCTCGCTTAGCAATACCTCGGACACCGTCCGCACCGATAACCAGATCCGCCTCCACTGGAGGGGTGTTATCGACAAAGTGAATCAAGTTCCTTCCATCCGGTCGGACAAGAACTTGGGATATTCTTTTGTGGATGATATGGTGGTCTGGAATTCGTCCCCGCAAAGCAGTCCAAAGCGAGTGGCGACTAGTCGCGAGCATGTGGGGGGGATCTGTTCTTATTACTGTTGTTGTTCTCATCCGAAGAAGCACTTTTCATCGAAAAAAGGGGCCAGCCATTTTTATTTTTCATGTTGGAAATTGTTGTAACGTAGCCCCCACGCACAACGTCCTTCAGCAGCTCTTCATCAAGGCGTTTCAATACGTTCAAGCCATTGGGTGCAACGCCTAGTCCACCCCCAACAAGTAATGTAGAGGAATGTGTGTGTTCCTCTGTTCTTTCATCAGCTGTGATGCTCAATTTTGTATTGTATGCCTCGTAGATAGTGATCTCATGAGGTTCATCGGATTTGGTAGGCCGCGGGAGGTGCTTTTGCAGCTCCAGGTAAGCTGCACATCCGGCGATCCCGGCGCCAACAATGACAATCTTCATTGAAATGTTCGAGTGAAGAGGGAAGGGGAGGTTTTTGAAAAAGCATACGAGAATGAGAGGTCGAAGCCAGAAACCCCACGTCTAAATACTTGGCATATTTTAAGGTTGGTCAAATATGGGTCATAAAGCTAACCCAGTTAAGCTAGGCTATACCAAATTCACCAATCACCTGTAACATCCGAGGATGCTATACAACAGAACCACAAGCTTTCATCGGCAGACGAGGCAATAAAGTGTGAGATTTATCTTTTCACGTCTTAGGGTTGCAAATGAACATGTTTGTCTACTTTTTTCAGATCCCTGCTAACTTGTAATGGATTTAGTATTCGATATGCGCGATTAATCTCCCGTGAGTGGGCGTGTCTACTCTCGTAAGCCTCGACTCGTAGCCGTATTTACCTTGGGTAGGAGGTAATGGGTTTTGTTAGGTTGAGTGGCACTCGAAATGCTTTTATCCTGATCCCCAAATTATATATTAGGTATCAAGATATATAAATTGAGAGAGATATATATATGAAACTATTTGGTTACACAGCGTGGCCTGTTGAAGTAGTTAACTTAACAGGTATCTCTCGTGGGCCATGCCCCAAATCTTCTTTCTGCAACCCCTCAACCAGCATCACCATGCACTTCATGGTCCTACTATACCATTTATAGATAGCATACGGATGTTTCTTTTTGCATGCCGACTACATATGTTTGCTACCTATCCATCTATGACCTATTGATACTAGCTACAGTATAGAGCTGGCTTTTCTCTCAGAGATCAGTGACCGGTTTTTCATCATCCTCGTACTTTCTGCTCCGTATAATTATACATGGTGAATGCCTACTAAATTTTCTGTGGAACTTCTTAAATCCTTTTCTGATTCAGTGCTCACTCTGATGGAAGTATATCCCCTACCTGGGCCATATATGGACACAAGAGATGCATGAAACCTTGGAAGCAATGCCTAGAAATCGGATCGTTTCTCAAAAAGTCTCGAAAAGAAAGGCGCGACACAAATTGTAAAGACAAATCCACAAACTTGAAAATATGAACTATCTCCGTATTTCTACACGCTTCCTCTGCCTCTCCTCTATTATGGTCAACCTCGTCAGGCATGTTCTACATCCCCTTCCATTCCCATTTCGTCAGACCCAAATCAGTCTAAGTGATCTCCTGGACACTCATTTACACGGGGACACGTCCAATTGTTGTTTGGATACGATGAAGCCAATGCACTAATTGTGATATACCTTAGTAAATTGTCGCCATGCCCACCTGCGGACGATTACAAAGATATTTGCCGGGACGGTATTGTCTACGGATTTGGCTGCCTCCAAGCAGAACATGTTCCAATGGATCGAGTTGAAAGTGCTCGCCTCCGGGGCATGTTTTTACCCATGTTGTCACGCGAGGGGCAGATGGTAATTAGGGATAATTTGAGTTTCGTCCGCTGCCAGTTGAGCCACTACGGGGTGTAGTTTGAAGACAGGGAATTCTCTGGCAATGGAACTGCATTAATGAAGAAAGTCCTCTAGAAGGAAGTGCGACCAGGTCCCTGGTCACATTGCTCAAGAGGAGAAGAACCTCGACATTGATCACCGCCATACACCTCTCTAGATTTCAAGCGGGTGGGCCCCAGCCTTGCCTAGGTAGAGAAGTGCTCCCAGAGTCTTAGGCTTAGCCCTGCATACTCCATACTCGATTGGAGTCTACCTGAGTTTGTTATTTCTCATACCCCATGACCTTTTGCCGTTGCAATAGCTTTTAGTAGCCCATCTATTAGAGATTACCCAGAAACGTTCCCTGTTCATATGTGGCAAAAGGCTTCATAAAACAGTTAGACATCCTCCTAATTGAGAGAACTAGGTACAAATATATAAGCATCGAAAAATAGGAGCAAATACAATAGCAAAGAAATGCATCGTTTCAGCGTCTGATTACACGAATAAATCAAATCCAAGAACAAGGAGTCATAATCGATTACACCATGTACCGCTAATCCCCGTTCACATCAGAACACAGCAAGAGTTTTGCTTCTTGGCCTGGGTTTCGTGGTGTTAGTAAATTCAGGCGAAGGGAAAGTTCGATTTGCATACCTGGGTATAGAACATCTTGCTCTGGGCTGACAGTCCATCACTCTTCTGAACTAGGGAGTCAATCTTCTCACCGCGCTCTAGAACACTTTCGATCTGGAAATGGTCAACACATAGAATCACCTAATAAGGACATATGAGCATACCGTCTTGTGAAGGACAATCTTGGTTTCGTCAAGCTCCTGCTGGATCTTCATGATGCTATCAGCCTGGCCCGGATCCTGGTACTTGACGATATATTCCTTGAGCTGCGGCAGGGGGCACGCATTCTCACGCAAAGAGGGATCAGAGAAGGCAGTGCGTGGGTATTTGGCAAGGAACTCGTCCACAATCTTCCCCAAAAGCTGGTGGGCCACTAGGGCAGGGTAGTCCCCATCTGTAACAATAACACCGGAAACACCCTCTGTCCGTCCGTAAGCGTGGAATGTGTAAGCCTTCTCTTCAATATCCTGCCGTTGGCCTGGCTTTGTCCTCTCGGCGACCGTTCGGGTGAAGAGCATCAAGAATTCATCGTAGCTGTGAAGCGCTTGGTGGTTAGTGACCTAGCCGTGTCGGACTGAGAGAGGGTGGGTGTGCATACTTCTGACGAGTGAAGCGCGAAAAGCTAGTAATAATTAGCGAAACGTTCCAGTCAGTTGCAGAGCGCGCATGTGAAACTACCTGCTGAGGTCCTTTTCCCCGCATAGCTGAAGAGCTGGCTGGGTGTCGTTCCGGAAAACCTGCAAGACATATAGATAAGTACCGTATCTAGACATATATCATGCTAAATCTAAGCTGCAACCAAACATACGCCCATATAAAGAATCTTCATGGTGACAGCGTGGTTGTTCGCACAAGGACAAGGAGGCAAGTAGGTCTCGGGGGTAGTGGGGCGTTGGCTCGTAGTAAGTGCTGATCAAGGAAGTGCTCTGGTGTCAAAGAGCCGGGCAATTTCTTTATCGTAGGAGGTAAGCTGTATGATTAACTGAAGTTGTGAAGCAGAATGACAAGTGTTAAGCCTAAAACAGGCTCCTGAGTTGCCGATAGCAATGATGCACTGGACCCTCTGCATTGTGGCCTGAGGCATGAAAAGTACACCGCTCTTGTCATGCGACCGACTGAGCCCTGCGGGCCGGCCCTATAACTACTTTTGGCTCGGTCTCAGCTTATCCCCTCATTCCATACATTCTTTGTTGCTTGGCTTATCGCTTCTTGACTTCTTGATAACTAGGTCAATATGGAAAGCATCGCAGCTACCGAGTCGCAATGGCTATCACAACTAGCAGCAATGCGCCAGGCTATTGCCGATCTGAAGCTCCCCCAAGACCCTCCTCATGAATCGATCAGCTATGGAAGTGATATTGATCTGGACATTGACGACGACTATTCGTCCCCAGGAACAAATGATGATGTGTGGGATATCATCAGCTCGGACGATGAAACCTCCGACGATCTGGATGACTTGGATGGATCCGACGGACTCTATCTCACAACAGGGTCCTCATACAATCGGGTTTGGCTAGAAGATAAGTGCCAGGATTTGGCCATGCGAAGCTCAACTATGGATGCAACAGAGCTTGCTCAGCAAGTCATTGCCACCCTGGCTGCTGACAGCAATGATGAGGAGCTGCAAATGTCTTTGGCCGAGGTTGTTGGGTTCGATGACCTGGATCTGGTTATTGAGCTTATTGCACACCGAGGAGAAATTTTGTCGGACAAGGGACCCCGCTTGGAATCTCAGACAGATGGGCTCATGGCAGGTAGACTCCAAACACGAGCAGAGAGAGAACATGCTCTGCAACAGCGCGACTTCGAACATAAGAGCGCAGCGTTGATGCCAGCCCAAACCCGATCGGAGCCTTCCTACCCCCATGTTTTCAAGCAACACACCTCTGGAAATACACTTTCTGCCAATGGAAAGAAATATGGACTGCCTCTGGGTAGCGAGCAGATTGAGGAACCGAAGTACACTGAATTCGCGATCCCGGCGTCGAAGGTCGGAACACTTGGAAAGGGCCGGAAACTTGTGGAGATCGCTGAAATGGATGGCCTCTGTCGGGGTACCTTCAAGGGCTACAAATCTCTCAATCGTATGCAAAGCTTGCTCTACGACGTTGCATACAAAACCAGCGAAAACATGCTTATTTGCGCGCCGACTGGTGCGGGTAAAACGGATGCCGCCATGTTGACTGTTCTCAACGCTGTGGGAAAGAACACATCTCCCAATCCGTTGGAAAATCCAGAAGCGACTGAATTCACTGTCCAGGTTGACGATTTTAAGATTGTCTATGTTGCCCCCATGAAGGCTTTGGCTGCTGAAGTGACGGAGAAACTCGGGAAACGTTTAGCCTGGTTGGGGATCAAGGTCCGCGAACTGACTGGTGATATGCAGTTAACCAAGCGAGAGATCGTTGAAACCCAGATCATCGTTACCACCCCTGAGAAATGGGATGTTGTAACGCGGAAAAGCACTGGAGACACAGAGCTTGTTCAAAAGGTCCGCCTTCTCATTATCGATGAAGTCCACATGTTGCACGATGAGCGAGGAGCGGTCATCGAATCCTTGGTCGCTCGAACCCAACGTCAGGTCGAAAGCACACAGTCCCTGATTCGTATTGTTGGCCTATCCGCCACCCTTCCGAACTATACTGATGTAGCCGACTTCTTGAAAGTGAACAAAATGGCCGGCATGTTCTTCTTCGATCAATCTTTCCGACCAGTACCTCTTGAACAACACTTCATTGGTGTCAAAGGAAAGCCCGGCTCCAAACAATCTCGTGACAACATTGACTCTGTCGCCTACGAAAAGGTTCGCGACATGATGGAGAGAGGCCACCAAGTCATGGTTTTCGTCCACTCACGCAAAGATACCGTAATGACTGCCAGGATGCTTATGCAGCTAGCTGCAGAGGAGGGCCGAGAGGATTTATTCAGCTGCCATGATCACGAAAATTATTCCAATGCCCTTCGTGATATGAAGCACGCACGTGCGCGCGAACTGCGTGACCTATTCGCTAGCGGATTTGGTACCCATCATGCCGGAATGACTCGAAGTGACCGCAATCTGATGGAGCGAATGTTTTCAGAAGGTCTAATCAAGGTACTTTGCTGTACTGCCACTTTGGCGTGGGGTGTCAACCTTCCCGCAGCCGCGGTTGTTATCAAAGGCACTCAGTTGTATAACCCCCAAGAGGGTAAATTCATTGATCTGAGTATTCTCGATGTCATGCAAATCTTTGGTCGTGCAGGTCGTCCACAATTCCAGGACACCGGTATTGGATTTATCTGTACTACTCATGACAAGTTGAGCCACTACCTATCTGCAGTCACTGCACAGCAGCCCATTGAGTCGCGCTTCTCTAGTCGACTTGTGGATAACTTGAATGCTGAAATCTCGCTTGGAACAGTCACATCTGTTCCAGAGGCTGTGCAATGGCTTGGTTACTCCTACCTCTATGTGCGCATGAAACGTGAGCCGAGAAACTACGGCATCGAGTTTGCTGAGTTACGCGATGATCCAATGCTGGTCCAAAGGCGGCGGCAGTTGATCTTGCAAGCAGCACGGGTGCTACAAAAGAGTCAGATGATCATCTTCAACGACAAGACTGAAGATCTCAAAGCCAAGGATGTCGGTCGCATCGCAAGTCAATACTATGTACTGCAAACCAGTGTCGAGATTTTCAACGACATGATGCGTCCCCGCTCTGGTGAGGCAGATGTACTCAAAATGATCAGTATGAGTGGAGAATTCGACAACATCCAATCCAGAGACAGCGAGTCGAAAGAGCTTCAGCGACTCCGCGACGAAGTTGCACAGACTGAAGTTGCCGGAGGAAATGACACGCCACACGCAAAGACAAACCTCTTATTGCAAGCCTATATCTCTCGCGCCAAGATTGAGGACTTTGCTTTAGCCTCTGATACTGGATATGTTGCCCAGAACGCGGCACGTATCTGCCGTGCTCTCTTTATGATTGCGTTAAATCGTCGCTGGGGCTATCAATGCCAGGTTCTGTTGTCTCTTTGCAAGTCCATCGAGAAACAGATCTGGCCCTTTGACCACCCTTTCCGTCAATTTGACTTACCTCAGCCGATCCTACGTAACCTTGATGAAAAGCTTCCAACTACTTCCATCGAGTCGATGAAAGAAATGGAGCCTGCGGAGATTGGTCAACTTGTTCATAACCATCGCATGGGCAACACATTGTCCAAGCTCCTGGACAATTTCCCAACTCTGAGTGTTGAGACCGAGATTGCGCCGCTTAACCGCGATGTGCTTCGTATTCTTCTTTCCATCTACCCCGAGTTCACCTGGAATGATCGTCACCACGGAGCATCCGAATCCTTCTGGGTCTGGGTCGAGAACTCGGAGACATCGGAAATCTATCATCACGAGTACTTCATCCTAAGCCGGAAGAAGCTTTATGCTGATCATGAGCTCAATTTCACTATTCCGCTGTCTGATCCCCTTCCCAGCCAAATCTACATCCGTGTGATCTCTGATCGCTGGCTGGGTGCTGAAACCGTTAGCCCGGTTTCTTTCCAGCACCTCATTCGGCCGGACACTGAAAGCGTATATACTGATCTACTCAATCTCCAGCCACTTCCTATATCGGCTCTTAAGAATCCCATTCTTGAGGAAGTGTATGGGCAACGCTTCCAATTCTTCAACCCTATGCAGACACAGATCTTCCATCTCCTTTACCATACACCAGCCAACGTTCTCCTTGGTTCTCCAACTGGTAGTGGAAAGACTGTTGCAGCTGAGCTGGCAATGTGGTGGGCTTTCCGCGAGAAGCCTGGCTCCAAGGTTGTCTACATTGCACCCATGAAGGCCTTGGTCCGTGAACGAGTCCAAGATTGGCGTAAGCGTCTCACCAGGCAGATGGGTCTGAAGCTTGTTGAGTTGACCGGTGACAATACACCTGACACGCGTACGATTCGGGATGCCGATATTATTATCACCACACCTGAGAAATGGGACGGTATCTCACGTAGTTGGCAGACCCGTGACTACGTCAGGAAAGTGAGCCTCGTCATTATTGACGAGATTCACTTGCTCGGTGGTGATCGAGGTCCTATCTTGGAAATCATTGTTTCCCGAATGAACTATATCGCTTCCCAATCCAAAGGATCTGTTCGACTGATGGGCATGTCCACCGCCTGTGCCAATGCTTCTGATCTAGCCAACTGGCTTGGTGTCAAAGAAGGTCTGTATAACTTCCGTCATTCAGTTCGCCCGGTTCCCCTCGAGATTTTCATCGATGGGTTCCCTGAACAACGTGGTTTCTGTCCCTTGATGCAGTCAATGAATCGCCCAACTTTCCTCGCGATCAAGAACCACTCACCAGAGAAGCCAGTCATCGTCTTTGTTGCTTCTCGCCGACAAACTCGTCTGACTGCTAAGGATTTAATCAACTACTGCGGTATGGAGGACAATCCTCGTCGGTTTGTGCGAATGTCTGAAGATGATCTGGAGTTGAACCTCGCGCGAGTGAAAGATGATGCTTTAAGAGAAGCCCTCAACTTTGGTATTGGCTTGCATCATGCTGGTTTGGTGGAATCGGATCGCCAACTGGCAGAAGAACTCTTTGCCAACAATAAGATCCAAGTTCTTGTGGCAACTAGTACTCTTGCCTGGGGTGTTAACCTTCCGGCGCATCTTGTCGTTGTCAAAGGCACACAGTTCTTCGACGCTAAGATTGAAGGTTATCGGGACATGGACTTGACTGATGTTCTGCAAATGCTCGGTCGTGCCGGTCGCCCGCAGTTCGACACCTCTGGTATTGCGCGCATCTTCACGCAGGACTCAAAGAAGGCTTTCTACAAGCACTTCCTCCACACCGGTTTCCCCGTCGAGTCTACCCTGCACAAGGTTCTCGACAACCATCTCGGTGCTGAGGTATCTGCTGGAACCATTGGGACGCAACAAGATGCACTGGACTACCTGACCTGGACATTCTTCTTCCGTCGGTTGCACAAGAACCCCTCGTACTATGGTCTCGAGATCTCTGCAGAGGAACAAAACACCATGGCAGCTCAGGCCACAGCTCAAGATTTCATGGTTGAATTGGTTGGAAAGTCGCTCAACGACCTCGCAGAATCGTCCTGTGTTCTCGTAGACTCAGCTACTGGAGAGGTCGACTCCACTCCCTTCGGCAAGATCATGAGTTATTACTACCTATCGCACAAGACGATCCGGTACCTCGTGTCCCATGCCAAGCGTGATCCGACTTTCCAAGATGTCCTGAGCTGGATGTGTTCTGCAACCGAATTCGACGAGCTTCCTGTTAGACACAATGAAGATCTGATAAATGCAGAGTTAGCCCAGAACTTGCCACTGTCTATTGACTGTATGGGCGATGCGCCCCTCTGGGACCCACATACCAAGGCGTTCCTCCTCCTTCAGGCCTACATGTCGCGGATCGATCTTCCGATCACTGATTATGTTGGTGATCAGACGTCTGTGCTCGATCAAGGCATTCGTATCATCCAGGCCTCAATTGATGTCATGGCTGAACTTGGGTATCTTCCTGCGTGTCAGATGTTGATGACTCTTCTCCAATGCATCAAGTCGGCGCGCTGGCCTGAAGACCACCCGTTGTCGATTCTACCAGGCGTTCCGACCGAGAAATCACCCAGTGGTCTCCCGGGAACTCTTGTATCGCTCTCCTCGCAGCCTGCTGGTGCAGTTGCTGCCCTTGTCAAGAAGTTAAACCTTCCATTCAATTTTACTCGCATTACGTCCCAGCTGCCCCACCTGTCGGTCTCGGTTGCGAGTATCTCTGCTAAGGGCATCGCCGTGTCTCTGACCCGGCGTAACCAGCCCACAACTGCCGAATGCAAGGTCTATGCCCCTCGGTTCCCCAAGCCACAGACCGAGGGTTTCTTCTTGATTGTTTGCAGTGCTCTACCGAATGGCATGGATGGTGAACTGCTTGGCCTCAAGCGTGTGTCGTGGCCACCAGTATCCAAGCGTAATGGCAATGGGAATGGCAATGACAACGATAGGGGCAAGGGCAAGGGCAACAACGGTGCGGGTTCCAGTCGCGGAGGATCTGTCAACGATAACAAGGGCGGCCTGTTGACTGTTCGGTCTAATGTTAAATTCCCCGAGGGCATCCTCGCGGATTCCACTAGCACCAGCACAGCTCGGGTGAATATCAAGGTCATCAGTGACTCGTACGTTGGCATGGCATGGGCTGTCTCCAACGTTGAGGTTAATTTGGATACTGGCATCGAGACCATCGAGACGCAGACTGTGGAAGAGTCGAGCGTTCCTACCAAGGACTAAACGCAGGTGCTTAAACCATTGGCTGGTATATTGACGTAAATACATAGCTCCAGTCTTCACAAATAAATGGAAAACCACTTCTTCAGCGCTTCAAACCTCCCCTCCTAGGTTTCAAATGAATCAATGACCCTTGTCCTTCCACCCATATTCAACTTGACGACACCGTTAACCATCATAATCTTCCCAACAACAAAAACATCATTCGTGTTCTCCAACATCTCACTCTTCAATAAAGGCAATCCTGCCGTCTCCCCATTTCGAATGAACTTGACAACAACGAAATTGTGTTTTTCCACGGTCTCCCAACTTGTGAAGCGATTCATCACTTCGAAATCATGCTGAACAAAACTCCAGTTCCGCAAACGAATAGTAGGAATTCCACAGCTTATCCGCAGCATTGCGATAATGGTATATCCATACTTTCTGCTCTTTGCGCGTTTGCTTCAGTATATTGTCGTAAATCAGTCGCAGTTCCTGCGAGCCCAGGTTCTTCGTTACCTGCCCCGAGATCAGCAGCAGAGGACTTGTTGGCCCGTCTCCACCGAACGCTACGTCCAGACGATACTGTACGCCGCTGCTTAGACGGACGATGTTGACGATGTGTGCCCTAGTTTCACCGTTTAGTCGTCTTGATTTGGTGATATAATGCATAATTGTGTGGTCACTGGTTTTGTAATCTCGGGTGATCCTCTTACCATCCCCTGAATTCCCATTGCGGTATACCATCTATCCGATCCCGGCTCCGACCGACCACTCATCGTGTGTACTGGGAATCCTAGGCCGCGCAGAATGTGGCTGAAGAGAATGCCTATCTCCAGATAGTAGCCTCCTCGACAGGACCAGGGGTTGCTCTCGCTTCCTCCGATGACTTTGTGGTGTAGACCTTCTCGGGTTGGATATCTGCTAGTTGGGTAGCGGAATAGTGACATGTCAGGTTGTCGTATGGGAATCGGGTGATCTAGCACTGGAAGAGATCTTTCAATGCTTCTTCGGTTTTGAGGAATGATTCTGGCTGGTTGATGTATTGTACATATTGATCTGGTAGAGCGATGTAGTTCAGATATTTGGTCAATTGTGCCGGTGTATAGGCGGAGGCCAGTTTCGGAGTATCCATTTCGTCGGTTCTCTGGCAAAATATGGGACGAGCTTTTCTGTTCTCTTCAAATGTTTAGATGTCTTGGCATTGCAGGTCGGACCTGAGACAAACAAAGGTGCATGCACCCCAGTGGCTCATATCTCAAAGGGACATGGGTAGCCCCAAGGTAGACAAAAGTCCACGGTGTGGTATTGGATTATTTGGAGCTGTGATTTGAGTGTCCTTGCATAATATTTGGAAGAGCCATTTTATCTAGTGCATACTTACAACAACAAGTGCATGTGAGATGTAGTAGACAAAGAAACAAAAAGCGGATCATGGATTAAGATGCTGTAGAAAATATGAAGACCATATGCAGAGAAGGAAGGATGCATATGGAAGAAGGTACGGAAGATAGCAAAGGGGAATCAGGTATGAAACAAAAAGCTAAAGAAGGAAAGAAAGAAAGAAAGAAAGCGAATGGCGTAGAATGTCACAGACACTCTATCTGCAACTCCTGTGAGACACCGGGTCGGTGCCCACGGTGAGCATCTGTAATCTGCGGTGTCATAGGTCTTCTGTGAACAACCCGCTCCTCTGGATCCAAATGATCAACTCTCATGCCGATGGGAACCAGAACCTGCCTCTTTGCCCGGGAGACAGAGACAGAGCGTGCTGTTGAGACCTCAATCCTTGGGGTAGGACGCCGAGGCTCTGTTTCAAACTCCTCTTCAGCGGTCTCAATGGTCTCAACGGCATCGGCGAATGGCATGCGCGTGGAATCTGCTGGGGATACGGCGGATCTAGGGCCAGTTGAGGCTGATGATGGGGACATGATTCGGTCAATCTTGCTCTGCGTCGCGTTCAGTGCTGAAGGTGAGCTTCGAGATGTACTGGGGGATAGCATGTCCTTTGTTGATGCTTGTGAGTGGCCTTCGGTTTGAACTCTGAGATGTGGGCGTGCCGAATCGTTGGTTCTGCGGTGGCTCGATGTCTTATTCGGCTGATTCTGTGTGGTCTTATGTTGTGGTGAAGTAACCTGAGGCTGTTTTATTATGGGTCGCGGCAGCGAACCCTTTCTCGGTTGTGGATGAATCCGGGGTTGAGCAACCGGCTTTGTTGCAACAATATTGTGCGATTGGACGCCCTGTTGTTGCCTGGTCTTTTGCGGGGATGGAGTCTTCTTCTCTGGCTGAGCACTTTTCTGTAGTGGAGAAGATGTAATCTGTGGCTCCGGCCTGATGGCAGGAAGAGGCTTGTCATAGCTATTAGAAGACCGAGGGGTATTGGAACGTTCAGAGAAAAGCTTCGGAATGACCGGTGACTCGAACGATGAGAGACTGCCCATATTTGAACCATGATGGATCTGTGGCGCAGGCATCTTCGATGGGCTTTCGGCAGGGAGTGTGTTTGCCCTAACCAGTGGGTTCGGTCCACGGGAAAAATTATGTGTGCCGAGTACCTGGGCCGCTTTCGAAGGCTGTGAAGATGGAAATAAGGTGAAGCTTGATTGCGCTGGTGAAGTTGCCCGGCGTTGGGGCATTGGGGGCGGTGTAGGTGATTTTAGGAAGCCCTATATTAGTGCATCGATTAGTCTTATGCTGGTTTCTGATCGACGAAAATCCATACATTTGCATCTGGCACGCGAAGATTTTCCAATGTCCTGGCCCTTCTGGCCAGCAGTGAGGGTTTTTGGTTCTTATTGACGACGTCACTGAACATGACACTGTAACGCTCCATCTGAACATCTGGGATGTCGACACTCAGTAAGAGGCGTTGGGTACTTGCTTCAACCTTTGGTGGCTTGTTGCCGAGTGAAAGGGTCCGACTCCGCTGGGGAGCTTGAATGCTTCGGCCAGGCATATTTCTGGGATCGATCTCAATTTTCGGCCACTCCTCCGTCGAGTTCTTTCTCAGTCGTGCTTTCTGCGGTTTCTCTGGTAGTTTATAGTTGTTGCTTTGTGGTTTGACTTCGCTTTCTTGTGCGCTATCAGGAAGCGATGTAAGCGCATTCTTCGCCTTGAAGAATCCGCCAATTTTCTTCCACTTGCTTGGCTTATGGGCTGAATCTCGTTCTGCAAAAACGGATGTATCAAATCTAGGTGGTGGTAGAGGCTCGTCTTTGGTCAACAGACCGGGACTACCCAGCGCAATGCCTATCATGTGTTCTTCGGTCTGGGTACGGCCTGACCGGGTGGTTTGAATGGCCTCATCCGGTGGTGCGGTTATGCTAAAGTCGAAAGTTGCACCTTCGGCCGGGGGTGGCTTTCTGAACCACCCATCTCCCGTAGAGGGCTGGCTGAAATCCCACTGTCCAATCATGGCAGGTTGAGCTGGATGCTGTGAGCCTTCAAGAGAGCGAAGATCGTTTCGTGGCAAGGCATCGGAATAGGTTAAAACAGGAAATGAGATGGTATCCTTAGTGGCTTGCGTGCGAGATTGCACTGTGGTCACACCTCTTGCCATCTTGTACTAGTATATTGGAAACCAGCCCATATGCGATAGAAAATGAGTGTAAGAAGAGAAAAACAAAAAGTAAGAAAATGATATTAAAATGAGATGCCAAATTGTAAAAAGAAGAGATGGGCCTTCCAGAAGGCCAGCAAAAATCGAAGAGAAACCAAAGAAATAGCGAGACATCAGGGTTTCGCCCAGTATATTAATGAAAAGTAAACGATAGATTGAGTGGATCAAATAAACGGACCGTGTAAATGAGACGGCAAATTAATTTCAACATCTCCATCCGAACTCTGCTAGAGGTTCAGTCCCAGACTAAGCCTGTTGGCGCGTACCAACAAAACATGAGAATTGACCCCAAACACTCACCAAATTCTGTTTTGGAATTTGAGGGGCGTCTCAGCGCTAATAGCAAAGCTGTATGAGATGCTTATTTCCCGCGGGACGAATGAGCGCCGCGGTCGCAGGTTGATTAGCTCGCTACCACGTTGGATCGGGCCAAGCCATGCAGGAGGCGTGTTTCACCTGGTCAAAACTGAGACAAGGCGTTGTATCGTGCGTTTTACCCTTGAATAAGGGGGAGGATTCAGCTCGGATCGAATGGATATCCACATGATTCAATGGTCACATCGTGAATTCTCCGACTTCGCATTATGAGTCGCCAATGCGATGTGATGCCAAGCGTATCTCTGGTTCCAATGGTATGTCTGTGTCCCAAGGTGTAGACCAGACACTAGCTGAAACGCAAGATGAATCTCGGAAATGGCGGTCAAATCAGAATTAGGGTAGTGGACCCCTTGAAGGTCTGAGGTTTAGGCACTAAGGCACTAAGGCAGTCAGGCACCAATGTACTTAGTCAGCAAGATATCAAGGAATCAAGGCATCAAGGCATCAAGGCAGTAACCGTGATGATCGACGGTACATGAAGTGACTGAGCGGACTGGGCTGACTGGACTGGTAGCGGGATGTTATATGTATGACATACATAACTCTTGACATGTCTCATTTGAATAGACACATCCAAAAAGTTGTTCTTATTTGTTAAGCTACTTTGTATATTACAGGATCTCCCACCGCTAGTTGGAGAATATTAGATATCATCCAGCTACAACATAAAAACGCACCTACACACATACACAGATAGTATAATAACCTACTTAGTGTAGAGAAAATGAATAGTATATTCCAAATCGACAGATAAATAAATACACCACAACATAATGTAAGCTTGTTATCCCAAGGCAGTTGCAAACGGTGGGATCGTCATATGGCGGGGTCCTCTCCCGACCGCCACAACTTCCTCCCCCCCCACTAACTCCCCTTCTTCTCCCAGCTCTCCTTTTTCTGTATATTCAAAAGGTGTGCGCTGAAATTTCTGCTTTCTTTTCTTCTCTGACCTCTAACTCAACCATCTCCAGCGTTATTCTCTCAGCTACTTTACAGTCATCATGGGCGAGCACTCAGCAATCTGGCAAAGTATGAATCACCTTGAACTGCTGCACACTGCAAACTGACAGTTCAACCCTTGCGTCTTCGAGTCGGCTAACAAAAGATTCTGTTTAAATTAGGCTATGTCGACTCCAGGTACATCATATCACCGTCCCTCCTCGACCCCTGATATGCCCCTCAATTGTTACCCTCGAAATCAAAACATCCCACTGTATTTATGCTATACATATGCTGACAACATTCGTTCTTACAGCCTGATGGGCTCGGGTCAATTCGACAAGGCTGGTATTCTCGCCGCTGACTTCTCCGGTGTCGAGGCTGCCTCGCCCGGCTTCGCGGTAAGCTCGCCTGTTGTTTTCCCTCGTGCGGGGTGGGGTCACAGACGTGGACACTGTCGCTAACTTTGGTTTATCAAAATATAGCTCTCCCAGGAGGAGATTAACTCACTGATCACCGCCTACACTTCTTCCGACCAGGCTTTCGCTAACGGCTTCTCCGTCTGCGGTGAGAAGTTCGTCACCATCCGTGCTGACGAGCGCAGTGTATACGGCAAGAAGGTAAAAATACCCGTTCCACTCGACCCCTAAACACCTCGGGAATTTTATTATAACATAACATCGGGATCTATGCTAATCTATTTTGGTCTGTGATATAGGGTAAGGAGGGTGTCATTGTTGCCCGTGCCTCCTCTTGCACCATCATTGCCCACCACAGCGAGGCCGTTCAGACCACCAACGCCGCGACCGTTGTCGAGAACCTCGTCGACTACCTCAACAACCCCCGGTAAATTGGAAAATATGCAATGATAACTAAATGATGTGATGAGTTGAGGGGTTTGTGAAGAATAGGAAATAAAGGAGCATTCGATTATTTCTCTGTTGAGCCCAGCGTGCTGTTTCGCTTATGCTTCTTTTTCTGACTTGACTGGATCTCTTTGCCTCCATGGGCCCATGTCGATCTGGACATGGTTCCCAATGCACAGTATGAGGATAAGAACCAGATTGTATGATGCACAATGTAATTTGTCTATTCTAACATGCATATTAATTGATTACCAGCTGTTGAAGTTAACGCTGGAAGATCAATAAGGGTCATTATTAATTACATAAACCTGAAGGCCGTAGGTGGATCGTATCATCCCGTGTCACATGTATAGCACAGCGTACTTGGACATCTCCAAACATAGCGATAGGCATCCGATATCCCGCAAGTGTACACAATCAAGTCCACATATTCGTATTTTGGGATACAATGGGGTAACATCGTCGCCAAGTCCCTGCCTGTGTTATACTTATACAGGAAGCTCGGCATTGCTCCTCCCACCAGCAAGCACCTCGAGCCCACGCTGGATATACGGTCCAACCACGGGGATGTTGCCCGCAAATTGACCGATTGTGACAAGGAAGTCGCCAAATAGGATGAACAAGCCGTAGAGTTCAATCAAGAACCCAGTCAAAGGCCAGCGGAAGAGAATAAGGAGGATACCAGCGGCGAAAGCGGCAGTACCCTTGAGCTTTTGCGGGCGCGTGAAGAAGACCACAGTTTTTTGGACACCAATAATCAGGGTCAATCCGATAAGAAAGAGGATCTGGTACTGTTAGTTAAGTATAACAGTTTTGTTGGAGCATATGGCGTACATTTCCCATAGCAAGTCTATTAAACAGGTATTAGCATTTATTCCACCTTCAAAAAAAGGCGACGCATCAGTATTGACATACAATGACCGGTCAAAGAACATCATCACTCCTCCAAACAGGAACAAGCCTCCTAAACAGCGGTAAAATTGGTTAGTTCTCGGTCGAAGTTATTGGTGCTTCGGGAACATCGATCTCGTACCGGCTGAGCAGAAGACCACTCCGATCTCTGTTATATATATTAGCCTATGTTCAACAATTGTTATGCATACACTGTCACGGCAGTGTACAGCGCAGCTTGTAGAATGAATGCGACTGACTCTGGTTCTCTGTTAACCACATGCTAGGCATCTTTGTCTATTTCAGGTTCGACTGTCGATGATAATATGTGGGACCGAAAATTACACAAATATTCTCGATGTAGTGTTTTAGCGCACGCGACACTTATCACTGCGGTCTGAGAGACAAGTCTTTGGAGGTTGTGGAATCCGTAGGGCAAGAGGCCAGGCAGATGCGGCAGGAACAAAGCGGAGATATGGCGTTCTTTGAAGTGGGTAATGGCTAGTCTGTTGTTGCGACAGTATCATCACGACTTGGAAAATCCTCGATACAGACCAATAGGTAACAGAAAGTCCCAAAGGCACGTAAACAGAAAACAACTTGAAAGCCACAATTCTGCCATCTAATCGGCGCCAAGTCGGGAATGGTAGGCGGTGACTCGAAAGTGCTTATAGCGCGCGCTGATCCCACTTGTCCTTTTCCTTTACAGAGTCTTCTCCAATTTATTGGCATTTGAACAAGGTCATTAATGATGTGATCGTTCCAATTGCATAGATTTTGTCGATCTCAACTATCAGTTCTAATTCTACTGGTATTGAGATATACCGATTGAACCACAATATTGAGCATAGCTCATGCATACTGCTACCCGCTATTGCAGAATCTTCCTTTACATGTATTTTGTACATGCCACGCCGCGACGACAGTCTCTTCGGATTCTGTAACTGGTACCCTGTCCCATGGGGTGTCGGTAATAGTCGAGTGCTTATGCACAAGGCGAAGATCGACTCATTGATCACGAATAAGCCGGAGCGTTTTCTTGAGCCTGTCTCGAAAGGGGCATGGTGGGGTGGAAAGGGCTTGACTGTGTTGGTCGTACATAACGCTTCTTGGCGATTCGTATTTGTGTCTAGTTGAATTGATTAGCAGAATTCTTACTATCTGAATTCGTTCTCGTATGACATACCCATTCTTGCATGATCGTTCGTTTAGGAAGTGAATAAAGCAGGGCCTCGCGCCACACCTTTTACTTCAGAATGGTATGCGCGCCGCGCGCTTCCAGGTAATTTTCGGGAACACCCTGTGCCAGAGTCCGAATCACCTTGAAGATCTCCTTGTCGTGATACCGCAATCGGGTCTTGGGGTCGGTGTACGGTCCGTCCAGGCCAGTGATGTCACAGTAGTGATGATGGTAGGCAGGGTTAAACGATGGCGCCGATTCAATGTTCGTGTAGGTGACGGCGGGCCCGCTTGGGAATGTTGCCCGGGCGTTCTTCTCCAAGACGAGGGTGGAGAGGTTTTGAGTGGCTTGGGACAGGGTTGGTGCAGCCCCTTCCGCGGGGGTTTGTGTGCCATCGGTGACAGCGTCCGAGGCACCCGGGGTAGTTGCGGCGGAGTTCGCTTGGGTTGCCAGCACTGACGCCTCCTTTCGGGAGGCTTCTGAGATAATCTGCTTGAGATTCTTGTTGCGCCGCTGGGATGGTTTCCAGTGAGGGTTGCGGAAGGGCTTGGGGACATGTGAGATGTCGAGTGTGTTCAACAGCTGCTGGTGAGCTTCGTCATTGGCGGGGGTTGGTGGAGGCATCGTATTGAATATGATTCAGGCCACCGGTTTGGTCAATTGGGAGGTTGAGGCGGGAGCAGCTCTTGCGAAGCTTGCCGGTGTAGATGGATGAAAGTGCGAACACAGGGAGATGGAATAATCAAAGAATATTAGATTCCTGAGTTGGGAGCGCTTGTTTATATGATATAGGGCATTTAGAGACGGATCACAAACGGACAGGTTAGGTCCAACGTAGAAAGCAATGCACGTAGTATCCCCGGCCCGCGAAGTCTGTATAGCAGCACGTGATCTCATCCCGATTAAGTCCAAACAAACACCTTCACGTTGAACACCAACAGGACATTTCTCAATACTCCACAATGGTATGCGGCTTCTCTTCCATAGATTATATCTAGTACGTTCTGCAGGATCCCAGATGCTTATATATCCATAGGAAAGCCCACACGAGCATCAGCAGACAGTGCTGCTTTCTCGCATCATCTCCAACGTTGTATGTCATTATTGAACCACATCTGGGAGATATACTTTGCTAATTTTTTGCATAGGAGAAGCTCAATGAAGCCATTATGGTCATGAACAAAGGACTCCAGGTTGGTTCGAGCCTCCTTCATTGATATGATCATAGTATTAACTCTCGATCACAGGAAGTCAACATCCAGAACATGAATGTCGAGCTTGTGGCGCAGATGTTTAAGAACTACCAGTCTAATGTTCTTTTCCACCTCGAAGGTATAATTACTCCACTATCAACCTCAGAAATTCTCTACTAATACCTGATAGCCACGGAGAACCTCCAAGAACCATCCTAAGGATGAACAATATCCTATTACGAAGAAATGTGTGGATGAGCCTGCAATTAGTCAATGATACCAACTTCTTAAATCAGTAATAGGCATATGTAGATGGTTGTAACTAGTTAATCGTTGCATCCCTGTACTCCGTATGAGCGATAGTGATAGCCTCCATTCTTGGCGGTCCAACTCCGCCAAACCTCATCAACCGCGTTTGTGTCGTTTGCCTCTTTGTCAATCCGCTGCCCTTTCCACGGGTTCATTGGTTCCCTCCTATCCCGACCTCATTTCCCATGCAGTGAGCTCTACTCGCCATCTACGATCTCCGATCCCAATAGCTCCTGGTTTCCGGAGCGCAGCCCGCCATGACGATTACCTCCGTGAAGACCCTCCTACCAGCTCGCATTGCATCCAATGCGGCTGAGAAACGAACCGAGAAGCCTCCTCCACAACTCCACGGTGTACAAGACTTCCCATTCAAGGGCTACCACCCTCCGCAACCCGAGGGATATCAGCAAAGCCAGGCCCATCCCGACACCAGTGCTATCGTCATTGACAATGGTAAGGAATTCCAGATAGTTTGCGATTCAACTCTCCTAATACATGTGGTTCATGCGCAGGCTCCCACCTTGTTAAGGCCGGTTGGTCTTTTGACAAAAACCCCCGATTCGCCATACCTCCCGTCATGAGCCGATACCGTGATCGCAAGCTGAATCGCCAGTGCCAATTTATCGGATACGATGCCTACGTCGATGCGACTACGAGAGGACAGCTGCGCAATGGTTTTGACCCTGGTTCTAGTGTTGTCGGTAACTGGGATGTCATGGAAGGCGTGTTGGACTATTTGTTCCTCAAGCTGGGCGTGGAGGGTGAAAATGGGGGCGTCGGTCGCCCAATCTTGATGACGGAGCCAATCGCCAATATGGCATATTCAAGGAAGAGTGAGTATCTGGCGGTTCCAGGCCCAGTATGGTGTTTGCTGACACTCGCTCAGTGATGAACGAGATTCTCTTCGAATGCTACTCTGCGCCGTCAGTGGCCTATGGTGTCGATTCCCTTTTCTCCTATCGCTATAACGGTGGAACGGACGGTTTGATTGTGGATTCATCGCATACATCCACTCATGTCATTCCGGTCATGAACTCGAAACCGATGTTCTCCAACAGTACTCGTCTCAACTGGGGTGGCCTGCAGAACGCCGAATACCTCATGAAGCTCATGAAGCTGAAGTACCCGACCTTCCCAACTCGTTTGACGGACGCACAGATGGAGGAAATGGTTCATAAGCACTGTTACGTTTCACAAGACTACGATCGCGAGTTGAGCGGGTTCCTCGACTGGACAGGACTCGAGGACCGTGACCGCGTCATTCAGTACCCGTTCACGGAGCATATTATTCAGGAGAAGACTGAAGAAGAGCTCGCGCGGATTGCGGAGCGCAAGAAGGAGAGCGGTCGCCGCCTTCAAGAACAGGCCGCAAGGATGCGACTGGAGAAGCTAGTGAAGAAGGAACAAGAGCTGGAGTACTGGAAAGACCTGCAAAATAATCTAGCCAACGAGACTAAGAAGGAGATTCGTCGGATTCTGGAAGCCGAGGATTTGAAAGACGAGGCTGCGCTTGAAAAATTGATTCGCGAGCTAGAGAAATCCATCAAACGCTCACGCAACAAGGATCTGGGTATTGAAGAGACCGAAGAGCAGCCTGAGGAAATGACATTCCCTATGCTCGATATTCCAGACGACCAACTGGATGAGGCCGGTTTAAAGGAAAAGCGTCACCAACGTCTGATGAAGTCCAATGTTGATGCCAGACTACGTGCCAAAGAAGAGAAGGAGCGCGAAAAGGCTCGTGTTGAGGAAGAGGAGCGTCTAGACCGTGAGACTCGTGAGAACGATTTCGAGAACTGGATTGCAAAGCGCCGCAACAATCGCCAGGTATGCTAGCCAGACAAGACATTCTAAATTCCCGTGCTAATCTTTTTCAGAACATTCTACAAAGAATCAAAGACCGTGACCGCTTCACGGCTGATCTTGGAAATCGCAAATCGCTGGCCAGTCAGATGCGTATGAAGACGCTCGCCAACCTAGCATCCGACGGTCCTAAGAAACGCCGCCGGGGCGGAGATGATGATGACTTCGGTGCCAATGACGAGGACTGGGGTGTTTACCGCACCGTAGCTGTCGGCGAGGGCAGTGACGATGAAGAGGAGGAGGATCTTAACGAAATGCTCAACTCTGTAGAAAAGGAGCTCCTGGAGTACGATCCCGAATTCAACGAGCACAACACCTTCGCCGCACAGTCCGACTGGACAAAGAGTCTTGTGCACGCCTTCCTGCGGGGGCCCTGGCCTTTCGACCCAGAAAGCCAGCGGGAGGCACACCAGCTCCACCTGAACGTCGAGCGCATCCGTGTGCCCGAGGTTGTGTTCAAGCCGTCCATTGCTGGCCTCGACCAGGCTGGTCTGATCGAGATCGCGGCCGATATCATTAACCAACGCTATTCGAACCCAGCAGACCAGTCTCTTCTTTTGAAGGATGTGTTCTTGACTGGAGGAAATACGTTGTTCACCGGTTTCGATGAACGCTTCCGTAAGGAAGTCCGCGGATTCCTGCCCATCGACGCTACACTAAATGTACGCAAGGCATCGGATCCTGTCTTCGATGCTTGGAAAGGTGCAGCACAGTGGGCTTCTGGTGGTGACCTAGGCCGATCCTCGGTCACGCGGCAAGAGTATCTGGAGAAGGGCAGCGAATACATCAAGGAGCATGAACTTGGTAATGCTACATGGTGAGGGTAAAAAAGCGAGTTCTGAAAACACCGCTTGGGCGCACTGGAGTCGAATGGTTCTGCTTATCCGGCGTGGTATAGGACATGTTTATTTGATACTTAAAAGATGTTATTGTTGAGTCCGGTAGTAAGCGAAATATGACATGTTCAGCCCTCCGTATGAATAGCTCCAATATTTATTCCTTGGAGTAAGACATGCTCCTTGCTTCTATCAATGAGCCGTGTATAAGGCTGAGGGTCTAAGACATCTCCATGCATGACCTCCGGGGTAATTCACCTTATGCCTGTTTAGAGTCGATGCCAGCTGTAGCCAACATGCACCAAATTAAATGGCCTACGCTTCCACTGACCAATAAAAACCTGAAAACCTCTGCTCTTTCGTTCCCGGCTGTATCTGAGCATTCTTGTAGACAAGTCCATGCACAACATGATCAGTCGAGGACAACAATGTTGTACGGACGAATATGATCTATTACACTAGTTCCACAACACTTTGGTGTGACCATCACTGGAATCGCTTACCATTTCCAGCCATCACTAAACAATAAAACTAGTTGTGTCTTGAATATCATAAAGCTCGCTAATCCAAGTCTAAGTGAGTAAAAGGATGCCACTATCCCTAGACCTAGATAAGGCCAAGTCCATCGAACAAAACTTAATAAGACTGAGGTCACTGTCGATCACGACTCATGTAGGGAGAACTCCGCTATGGGGTGATGCTGCAGAGTGGAATCTTGTTATTCTGGTGGTTATGCACCAGTGGTGCAATATACCCACCCCATCATCGCTCTGATTGGCACTTGGTAACCATCACATCACGAGGTTAACCAGACGTTGGATTATCTTCCGCAAGCTGCCGACTGGGCTTTTCGTTTGTTTGACGTTATTCATTTTCTTCGTGTAGACCGTGGAATCGACTTGAGCTTTCTCCTGGCGTACCAAAACATGGATTGTCAATCATCCATTGACTTCGTATAAACCAGAAGTTAAACTTTCTATACGATACAGTTTGAATAGCTACACAGATTAAAAAGTAAACAACCATGTACAATTGCAAAATCTAAACAGTGCCAACTTGGGATCTGGCCTAGATATGGTTGGTTGCTTCTGACTTCATGCAGAGGCCATCATGACGCACCTGGTGAATTCTTGCTTTTCATCCTTATTGGCCCTAACCCTGGTGATGGATGTTGCATCTATACTTGGCGTCAGTCTTGTTCGTTTGTTTGGTTACTGGTACTTCGATGGAACCAGTGATGTTGGGATGATCGTTTCCGAGATATAAAATCCTGCTCCCTGCTCTTCTGCCGTGGAAGTTGATTTTTTTTTCTTGCTTGTATATTCTCTATCTAGTTCTCTATTATCTCATAGACGTGTCACACTCGGCCTTATTACGCCCCTTTCACGTTTTGTATACTTCATAGTTCGTTTACTGCACACAATGGTATTCTTCTCCACAAACCTTGCTCGTCCCTTGCAGCTGGCCACTCGCGTTATGCAGTGGAGTAGTGCTGTCATTGTCATGGGCCTGACCTCGTTCTTTATCAACCACGGTCCCCGTGGCCAACATACCATCTACCAAGAAGTCATTGTATGTTATTGTGCTTTCTTCGATTAACCGATCATCACAGAGCCATATATTCTAACCAAAAGCGTAGGCTGTCCTCTCAGTCGTCTTCTTCCTCCCGGCTTTCATTTCACCATTCTTGCCCTCGTCGTTGGGCAGATTCGTGCTCGCCATCGACGTTGTCTTCTCCTACCTGTATGTTAACTTTCCACCATATTTTCTACATCGAAGCCTCTAATACCCATTATAGCTGGTTGACTGCCTTTATTTTCTCCGCACAAGACTACAGCACGAGGCGATGCTACTTCGCTATCCCCGCAGGCCTCAACTGCAAGCGCAAGAGGGCCAATGAGGCTTTCATCTTCCTAGTTTTGTATGTCACCTGTATTCTCGTAACTGCCGTTAACTGCTGAAAACTAATATCATCGCAGTATCTTTACCTTCTTCGGTATTTTCCTTGAAGTCGCCGCCCTCTGGGCCTATCGCAGGGAAAACACCACTGTCCAACACACCGAGGAGGATAAAGTCAATACTGGGACTCGTCCACCCCTTGATGCTCCTGCAGCTCCTGCTGGAACTGTCTAATTGGTGTATCGGATACCTCCCTGGACAAATATACATCTACTATCTCTCGACGTGGTCGATGATTGTGGATATATCACCTTACTGGGCTGTTCAGGGACCCGCTTTGGACCTTTATTTTCACTACGTATTCTTTTCATTCATTT